TCTCTCTCTCTCTCTCTCTCCCTCATCCCCTCCAGCATGACCAGCACAAAGACGGTGGAAAAGTACAACTAGACCAAACTCCTCGAACTAGATCTAGATCGAGATCTATTTTTTTTTCTGGCGAGACTGCTTAGTATTTAATTACAAGTACACATTTAGTATTTAATTACATGTACACATGGTAACATCTCTTATCCTATCTAGATTAGACTATTTTGTAACTCACTCCTAGCAGGTCTGAACAACAAATATTTGAATGGTTTACAAGTAATTCAAAACAATGCCGCTAGACTGATAACAAGATCTAAAAAACGAGACCATGTCACTCCATTATCAAAAGAACTGCATTGGCTTCCTATAAAAGAAAGAATAATATTTAAAATCTGCGTTATGTGTTAAAAATGTGTAAATAAAACTGCTCCTTTTTATCTACAAGAACTTATCAGTATATATAAACCAGAGAGAAACCTAAGATCATCAAACGATAACACCCTACTTGTGACACCTGTAAAATCATATAAATCATATGGAGAGAGATCTTTCTCATATCTTGGTCCATTTATGTGGAACAGATCACCCATGAAACTAAGACAAATAAAAACACTTGATAGCTTCAAAAGACATCTTAAACATTTTCTGTTCCTACAGGCCTATCCTTCATAAACTTTTAACGGTATCTTTCATTATAGTTGTTCTGTTCCTATGTCTGGATGAAAATAGTCTCTCTCTGTGTGTGTGTGTGTGTGTGTGTGTGTGTGTGTGTGTGTGTGTGTGTGTGTGCATTAATGAAGGAGATTAAAAGTAGTTCTAAACTCCTTGGCATTAATGTATATTGCATGAGAAGAAAGGAAGTAAGAAGTAGAAAGAAAGGTTTTTGAAAAATGGGTATTCCAATGTAAAGCGGATTGAGCTACTTTTTAGGAAATGCGCTATATAAATGTTATATATTATTATTATTATATTATTAGTATAATCTCACAACTTGGCTTTCGAACATTTCGTGCTGCCGTGCTGTAAAGCGGTTGTACCCATTTCGTTTGGACAGTAATTAAACTTGTTTACAACAGCCCACAGAATTCTACAGTGTAGAATTCTGTGCAACAGCCCCAGAATTGCGGTATTTCCGGTTTCACCACGTGCGGAAGTCGAAGAAGAGCACTTCTGTAAATCTAGCCTGGTTTCCTCCCTTTTACCCCTTTTGATGGCGACATCACCAACGATGTTGTGGCATGGCATGTGAAAAAGGAAGGCGAGACATAGTTTGAAGAAGAGAAGCGTGAATTTGAACGAACGGAACTATAATATATAGTTGCAGATCAATTGTCTTATCAATATGGCGCACATTGTGAAGCACATCACCGTTGTGCCCTCTTACAAGGTATGTCTACCGCAGCTGTTCATGACATGTTGTGTACTGAGAATGATAGCCTAGAATCTAATCTAAAATCTAGATCTGTAATCTGCAGTCGAACCTGCCTTAACGGAAACCTGTATAAAACGGAAACTTGTCTTACCGGAATATCCTGGCGCCCCCCTTGATATAGATCTATTCCTCTTTAATTACCTGTATAAAACGGAGACCTGTCCAACGCGGAAACGGAAAGAAAAATCTGACAGGATAGCACTTGACTTTGAGAGGGGCGATTGTCAAGATTTCCGCGTTTAATTCCGATGTGCGCTTTTCAAAGCCTAAGTTATGTTTCGCTTTGGTCCCTAACCCTAACCCTGACCCTAACTCTTCAACCCTAACCCTGACCCTAACCCTAACCCTGCTGACCCTCCTAACCCTAACCATAACTCCAAATGCACCAAAGTCAAAGCGAAACATACCTTAGGCTTTGAAAGAAAGTGGCTATTCTCACCCGCCCGGAAGTTCTTGCAAGATCAACTCCTCCCCTCTTCTCTCTCTCTCTGTCTCTTTCTGAATACTGTCCATCGGTGTGGACGATCAAATTGACCAAAACAAAGTTTTAAAATGATGTTAAAACACAAAAGTAAATTAATATGGTTGTCTACAAAGATGCTACGGCTATTTAACTTTTCGAATCGAGCCGAACTACGCGGGTCGCCATTTTGTTTTCCCTGGAAATTCTCGCGCTACTCCTCTCTCTCTTTCTCTCTCTCTCTCTCCACTGCCCACAGACAAAATTGTACGCTTTTAGTAGGCTACAGTTGTAATGGAACGTTTGTTCACGGCACAGAATTCTACAATTTTTCTGTTATCACAGTGTAGAATTCTGTGGTTTAGGGTGAACCAAAATTTGGTGAACGCGCACCGGGTGAGAATAGCCACAAGACTCGCCTGCACTATTCTCACTCCGGGTGAGAATAGAGGTGGCCCTTTGAAAAGCGCACATCGGAATTAAACGCGGAAATCTTGACAATCGCCCTTGAGAGGTGTGAAGTTTTGACCACTGTGCTGCTTGCTGATCGGACAAGCGATCCTTGATCCCACCGTCTGGGCCTTTGACACCCCCCCATCTCCCCCTCAATTCCCCTGTCTGAGACGGAATTATTTCAGGCTCCCTTGCGATTCCATCTTACACAGGTTCGAATTCCGTTACCTAATTAGAGACTTAGTCTACTTAGACTTAGATCTAGATCTAGATCACTAGGTCTAGACTAGATCTAGATTCTAGGCCTATCACTAAAAATAAGGAAGAGGCTTGCTGTACTTAATTATGGCTAGACTTGCAGTAGGCCTACTCAATGACGGCTAGATGCCTGGGCTAGCCGTACTTACATGACGGCTAGATTTAGACAACAGAGTCGTGTCTACGTACACAGTAAGTTCGGTAACCGGGCACCTAGCCTCTGGTACTACGTCACCTGCCTCTCTCACTCCCGGTGGCACTGCTAGTGGTTTGAAACATTAGGCCTAATTAACAAACAATAGACGATGGGCCTAACCTCGCATCGAGTTGGCCGTATGCTGTCTGCTAGAGTTCGCCCGCCGCTCAGTAAATAAAATTATGGAACGGACCCAAGAAACAAACTGTCTTGAGGTTCGCAGTCCGCTCGCACGGCCATCCGTTACCCGCTCGCTCTGATTCCACGAGTAATGAACCCGTCCGTCCGCTGGCCCCAACTCTACTACACACACACATGTGGGAGAGGATCGCTTTATTTCCAATTTGCCTAAAATTTCTTGCAAGTATACACTGTATTATTATGTCATGCCCAAAAGTCATTTTAGCCTAAATCACTGGCCATTTTCAGTTTTCAGAATTTCATGCTTAGCATAAATTGTGAAATTTAAGCTGTACTGTTCACTAGATTAGACTTAGTTCGATTTCAGAAGCTGTTAAGCATTGTGACAGATGCTCATTTTTCAATGTTTTTGCTTCTCTCCTGTGGTCCAGGACTTTGTGGACATTGTGCTGTCCAAGACACAGCGCAAGACACCCACCATTATCCACAAGCACTACAAGATCTCGCGGATCAGAGACTTTTACATGCGCAAGGTCAAGTTTGCACAGCAGTCGTTTCATGACAAACTGTCGCTCATCATTACAGAGTTCCCCATTGTAGCTGTGAGTATTTGGACATCCTTTTTCTGAGTTTTTTTGTGTTTTTGTTTGGTGCTTAGTTATTGGGAATAGGGGTGGGAAGATGTCACAGTGTGGGGGGGGGTTGAGGGAGACACACGTTGGCAGAAAGAAAAGTGTAGTGAGAGGATGATAAAGAGTACGTCGTCACCTTTTGTTCGTTCTGGGTATTTTGTCTGGAATTCTTTAACTAAGCCAAATTGTTTGAAATAAAAAATGTGCTGTTGTGTTATTGCATTCTGTATTTCTGTGATAGGTCTTGAATATGTACAGTATTTGTGATAGGTATTATTATTGTATGGAAGTGTTCCAGTGGTACGTCTTGTCTTGCCATTTGCTTATCTCTGTTGTATCTGTCTCATGGCATCAGTGCTGGCTGTCCATGACCAAATAATTGAAACATGCTGACATGAAGTGACTGTCTGGTTATTTATTGATGTAATAACTGACTGTTTGTGTGGTTATCTCTCTCTCTCTCTCTCTCTCTCTCTCTCTCTCTCTCTCTCACTCTTTTTTTTTTCTCTGTTAAACATACACCCGTTCTACTTTCTCTTCTCCCCCCCGCTCTCTGTCACTGCATGTTGTCCTTACATACTGTCTCTTCTGTTTGCCCCCAGAACCTGCACCCGTTCTATGGCACGCTCATGAATGTTCTGTACAACACAGACCACTACAAGCTGGCGTTGGGTGGGATCAACAAGGCCAGACAACTCATTGATGAGTGAGTACTCTTGGGAGATGGTCGGGATTCAGTGTGGATGAGTTGTATGTTAACCTCCAATAATTTAAACCAAGTGTGTTGAGTAGTTAATATGTGCAGACCTGCCACTCATCCCGATATAATTGGGATATCCCGATTTAAAAAAAAAAATTTTGCTTCAAATCTCAAGCATCCTGATATTCCCAATTTCGATCGGGTGTATCCCGATTTTTTTCTGCCGTCTATTGCGCTGGATTTTTCTAAAAACTTACTCTGCCTTCTTCTCTGTCGCGAGAAGCACCTGTTAAACTTTTTGTCAGCAGGAACTCGGAGCACTATTTTCCGAAATATGGATGCGTGATGTAGAAGTTGACTCGCCCCAAGTTGTGTTAGATCTTTGCTCCCTCATGTTATTTCAACCATATTTGAAGTAGTATCGATGGCATTCCGACCTGGGACGTTCTCATGATCTTCTTTCACGTTTGTGTCCGCTCAGAATCCGAGGTGTCCAGCAAAGTCGTAAAGTCGACGTAGTAAATTTGCTTTGAAGGTAGTAAAAATTTGGTAAGCGGTCTGCCGGTTTAGCAGTCATCCTTTGTGTACACATTAAATTAGGTATAAATCTCCCCCTTCCACCACCACCAGGGCAGTGCTACTGACTGAAACGTCTTTAGGCCATTCCCAAAGGGAGGATATTAACATGTTCTTTTGCACAGTAGAATTGTAAATATGGGCTGATTTATCAATGTCATGCTCATACTGTGCTGGATCAGCATAGGGGGAACTGCTGCCTTTTCTGTCCTCTTCTTTGCTATCGTCATTTCCTCTACTTCTTCTGAATGTTTGTCACGCTTGTGAACTACTATTTCCGGGATCCCTTGATAGTCGAAGCTTGATTCCCCGTTTTGACTTCTCTGTTGACATCCACCCCTTGTCGCTCATATCACCTATGCAGTTGCGAGCACCGTAAAAACCTTACTAAAACTAAATCTAGCTGCGAACAAGCTTGCGATCATCTGTCTATCCTCCATTTTGTCGACTGGACTTTGTTGTGTGTTCTTTTCGTTCCATATGTTATGTAATAATAAAATATGTTATTGATGGGACAAATTAACTCCCTTTTTCGAGCTGGCATGGGGCTTGATTTGGTAAAAAAATTTCCAGGTAGTAAATTTTTTCAGAAAATATTGCTGGACACCGTGAGAATTCTCCGATGATGGCTTGATCACTGTTTCAATAGCGATATACAAATAATCAATACTATTCATAGTTCTGCTTTTACTTTCGAAACAGGCTTTTTCCAAATTCTGGTTAGTCGGGCCTGTCATCAAGACACGTCAGTAAAACTTTCAATCGCATGTTCACATCACGTGACTTCCGCGTATGTCGGGATCGTCTGTCGACGGGGTCGACTTAAGTTCATGCTCACTGGTTGAAGCGTCTTTCGAGACTTATTGGGGGGGTCCACATTGATACCGATTTTGTTCCCCCTGAGATCCTGATTTTTAGATTTCAAAGAGTGGCAGGTCTGTGTGTGTGACATTTGTGTGCCTTTAGTGAGACCACATGTGTATGATGTGATTTTGTGCGTTTGCCTCTGTAAGCCCAAGTGTGTCGGGTGTTGAGAATGTGTGTATCATATTTGTGGTGTGTATACGTGTGCATACTTCTTCTAAGTGTGTTTGAGGTGTGCCTTCCTAAATCCCATATGTGCAAGCTTTGTGTGTGCGTATGGGTTTCTTTGGTAAGCTCAAATGTTTGGAGTGTGTGCATGTGTAATGTCTGTGTGTATGCCTTTTGTTAACTCAAGAATGTTGTGTGTACAATCACTGCAGTCTTTCTAAGTGTGCAGCGTGTGTCTGGTGTGTGAATCCAATAAGCCCAAATGTATGATTTGTGCCTTGAGTAAGCCCAAGTGTGTGCTGTGTCTCCTCAGCTGTGCCAAGGACTACGTGAAGCTGCTCAAGTATGGGGACTCACTTTACCGCTGCAAGTGCCTGAAGAGAGCTGCCCTGGGACGGTGAGTTACCCTGCTTCTGGCTTGTTGTTGGTGGACTCTGATCGCATGGGAGGGGGGGGGGGGTATATGTCTCTTATTAATGTTACTTCACTTGCTGATGTCACTGTGTCTCTTATCTGACTGATGATACAGATACATGTGTTAAGTAGCTACCAGAACAGAGTTATTTATTATGTCGGTGGCTGGGGTAACTATTTCCCTCACTATACTTGTCACTGTCAATATTTTGTCAGGATGGTGACCATCATGAAGGGCCAGTCCAAGAACCTGTTGTACCTGGAAGAGATCCGGCAACACATCAATCGTCTGCCCACCATTGACCCCAACACGCGCACACTGCTCATCACAGGCTTCCCCAATGTGGGAAAGTCTTCCTTCATCAACAAGGTGGGTCTCCTGGTCACTGTTTTAGTTCAGATTGAATTTTGTTTTTTTTGTTTTCATAAGTGCCAATTTTCTAGATAAATCCAGATATCTAGATTTTTTTAAAAATTGTCTAGATTTTTTTCATAGATATTAGACACCTCTGCGTTTTGTTTGAGTAAAGAGATGCACACATTGACACAAAACGGTCATTTGGTAGAGAAAAAAGGGGAAAGAAATAGGACCTACCAGTTGTGCTCTCCAACTACCTGTCTTCAAATTTAGGAACTTTTGACGACTTTCCTCAAATTCATTAAAAAAGAAACCAACACATTGCTTGCATAGGTACTGGAATCTTGGCTGAGGAAAGCTTAACGTGCAGACTTTACCATGGTCGAACCTATTAGTGTTGTCTTTTAGGTAGGTCACCTTGTCTTCATCTCTGTCTTTCTGAGGTTGCACATAGCACCTAGTGTTGTTACATAGGTCTCCTTTGTATCTCTCCATGATCCCATCACAGTTTCATCCCATATTTTGGTTGCAGTACGCTGAAAAGCTCATTTGAATCATATGCAGTCTAAAAGTTGAAGATGTATGTTTTATAGTCTTTTTGTGCGTTTGTTAATAGGTGGACTAATTTTCAAAAGTATTTTTTTAAACTATTAAAACTATTCTTACATAGAAAAGATTGTATGTTTCTTAACAGGTTCTGTTCTTACATTGAAAAGATCGGTCAAGATTTGTTTGTGTACGTCTTTTTACAGATATCTCGTGCTGATGTGGAGGTGCAGCCATACGCATTCACAACCAAGTCTCTGTATGTCGGACACACAGACTACAAATATCTCCGCTGGCAGGTGAGCACTCACACACACACAGTGACATGTAGAGTGACACACACAAGGACATATAGGGTGACATGCGCTGACATTCAGGGTGACACACGCAGTAATATGTAGGGACATGTAGGATTGCACACAGTGACATGTAGAGTGACTCCTCTGGGACATAAGGTGACACACACACAGTGATATATAAGGTAACACACACGGCATAGGATAGGGGGACACATGCTGTGAAATGTCAACCCATGAAACCTAAATTGTCTTGATGGCCGTTACCGTTGTTTTAAGACAATCATGATAGAAAATTTTTACTTTTTGTAATTGCAATCTACAGTCAACTCTGTTTTTGTTGAACTCGCTTGAGTTGTTCTTGGGTTGATGTTTGAACTGCGGGCTTAATCCTTTTTTAATAAGTGGGGTGATAAGTTACCTCTTAATTTGCAGTTAATTTCTTTTGTACGTGCGTGTGTTTCAATCGAGGGCTAAAACTTGTTTGAATAACCCCGATCAACAAGCTGTGGCAACCAAGTTTGAGTAGCCAAGGCCAAGATGTAGGTACTTACTAAAGGTTCCCTTTGTGTCTCTCTTCCCCCCCCCCCAAAAAAAAAAAAAATCCGCTGCATTCTCGAACAGTATCCAGAGACCAAAACATGAATGTTTAATCCCATGAGTCAGCCTGACCAGAGCAGAATGACGTCGTTAGAAAAAAAAGAGAAGCATCTTCAGGGAAAACTTCACTGCTCTGAAGGAGATGAAAACTAAGCATAGAGGCAGCAGTAATGTCCCCTGATCTGCCTCGCTGTCTCTCTCTCTTCCCCCCCCCCCCCCCCCAATACACAGGTGATCGACACCCCTGGTATCTTGGACCACCCCCTGGAGGAGCGTAACTCCATCGAGATGCAGGCAGTGGCCGCTCTTGTGCACCTGAGGGCCGTGGTGCTCTACATCCTGGACCTGTCAGAGCAGTGTGGACACACCTTGGAGGAACAGGTTAGCCGAGAGCATAGATCTATATATTACTACCTTAGAAATACAAAGTTTTTCTGACATTTTTGGCTGTTCTTGAATTACTAAGACCATGAAGTCAGAAACCAAATGTTCTATCTGCTCTATCAAAGTCGTAAGATTATTCGGAGTCATTATTAAGATATTCTAAGAATTGCATTCGGAAAAGTTTGACATGATGTAATACTCAAAGTCTTTGATGTAAAATTTCTCAAAACAAGGTACTGAGCAGATACAACTTTGTAATTCTGAGGTAGCGATATGACCGTGCTTGTTCCCCGCCAGGTGTCTCACAGCTCTCATAGAACACGCTGCACAACACAAAAACACTTGATAGAAACGAGCTGAACAGTCCATGGATTCCGTTGTGATCACACCAGTTAACCTATCGCTTACCTCTTTTTCAATACGCCTCATAAAACACAGAGTAGAAGGATGCGTCCGGAATGATAGGATGGATTATCACCGTCTTCACACCACTGTGCACATCACACACTTTTCATTCACTCCACCACACAACACACATGCTGTGTTTATGTAGTTAAGTTGATCCATACCTCTCTTTGTGACTTGGATCTGAGCAGTTGAGTGTTGGTGAAATAATGACATAGTAAAGAGCTAAATAAGACGCTTTTGTGTTGTTTAGGTGGAAATAAAAATACTAGGCTACAGGATCCGTTAAATGTCTTGCTGTTTTGAGAACAGAGTTAGAAGAGCGTTGTGATGTTTTGTGGTTGGTTGGAGAGTGAGCTACTGATAGGTTCTACTTCTATCCTTTACCTTTTGTGTTCCAGTCTGTCTGTCCTGCCCTTTCCTTGCAATAAATGACTTTTGTTGTAGTTGTGTACTTCTGTTTACTGAACTCTGAAGGATGTTTTATTCTATTTGAAATAGCGTCAAACAAGTGATATGTTGATCACTTTAAATATAAACCATAGAAGAGGCTCTAACGGCCACCTATAAAAGACAATCACCTGTGTTCACACACACCCCGTGTTTTGAAAAAATATAACGACACTGTCCAAGACACCAACCTGTCTAAAACGATTACTTTTCTCCCCGACAATTGGGGGGGGGGGGGTGACAATATCAACTAGATCAATATGTATATATGATGAGTATTTATGTATATACAGTCAAACCTGCCCTGACGGCCACCTCTATAAGACGGCCACCTGTACAAATGGCCACTTTCCATTCCCCCCCTTGCGTTTTTTCTATATAATTTAACTGTGTAAAACGGGCACCTGTCCAACGCAGCCGTGGCCACCATATTTTAACACACAACCCCTATCACACTAAGCAATAACACCTGTCTTAGACGGCCACCTTAGTGACTCCGTTACGTTTTGTCATAAATTGTGCATTGGCCCCTGGCGTTGTGGGCGAGCCGTCATAATTCAATCACCTGTCATTGTTGTTACGTAGTCCCTCCAACCAATCATGTTGCGTAGGCCCCTCCCACTGTTGACCAATAGCTACCAATTTTCAGCTGCTGGTGAGGTAAGCGTGAGATCCCTCATAACCCATAAGCCCCGCCCAGAACTCATACACAAATCTTAAGTGAGATGAGTGGTCACTGTTTACACAGTCTGTAACAAAGTAACAAAGGACGTCAACATGAACTTGCGACAGAAGCGTCGCTCGTTTTCCGAGTTGTGACGACCCATGTGTTGGTTTTTAACATGGCACTCGTTCGTCATGGTCTGATATATTTCATTTTATCATCACCCTTGCGCAAAATCAGCAACAAAATAAAAATTACAAACAAAATACAAACCAACAACAACAAAAACAACAACAATGCGGCCACTTTTGATTGGTACCTAAGATGGGAATGGTTTGTTTTCTTCACCTTGATCAGTCCTGCCTAAGACGGCCACCTGTCTTATACGGCCACTTTTCTCCTTGACAATGGGTGGCCGTCTTACCCAGGTTTGACTGTATATATATATATATATAATATGATGAGTATTTATGTACATATATATATATATATATATATATAATATAATGAGTATTTACTCTCGTCCCACAGCTGTCTTTGTTCAGAAACATGAAGCCTTCCTTCAGCAACCGCCCCATCCTGATTGTGATCAACAAGATTGACATTATTAAGCCTGAAGAGCTTCCAGAGGACAAAATGGTAGGTCTCACATTTACTTCTTGGTCCGCAGTGTGATACATGTACATGATAGGTACTTGGTGTGTTTCGTGTACATCAAGATGTGTGTGCTCTACTCGTATGTCCAGGCTGTATACATTGTGCTGTGTACACATCTAGGTCAATGGTGTGTTACTTGTGTGTCTTCAATTTGATAGTGCTATGCATGCATACCTTGAAACATGGTGTCTTTTAACAGTTTTAATGGGTGGTTGGCGGATGCTCTGGTGTGGTTTGCTCCTTCTTCCTACCAAACATCTATTGTTTTATCTCCCCTCCTTTTTTTTGTGTGTTTGTTACTCCCTTGTAACACCTCTAGTCTTCGGCATTTATATGACCTTATTGTTTTGCAAGTGCTGTAAAACTCGTACGTGCTAAAAAGATTACAGTTTACCTAGGTCCACATGAGTGGCATTCATCAGTCTTCCCTTCCAGTTAGGTTAAGTCCTACGTTTCTTTTTTTTTCCTTCTGTTCTTTCTATCCGAAAAATATGTGATGTTGTATTTGATGGGTGTTTCTTCTTGTTTTTCTGCAGAAAGTTCTGGAAGAGTTCCGTGCAGAAGGTGAGCCGGTGCTGGAGATGAGCACTGTGACAGACGACGGTGTTATGGCTGTCAAGACAGAAGTGAGTAGATGAAGAGGGGGGGGTGGATATCGGTAGAGAACAATACATGCTACTAGTTCAGATAAGAAATGTTTGGTGACTGAGTCAAAAACAAAGCTCATAGTTGAGGTACTGGAAACTGTGTGCCGACTTTTAAGGTTCCTTATTTTTGTTGATATCGTTTTCTATGGATTATTTTTTGGCTTGTTTTGAAGGTTATTCCCAGACCACACTGCCAATTTGACTCATTAGAGTCAGTAGGCAGCCGGTCAGATTCTTGCTTAATGGAAAGGCTACCATTTTGGCATGATATGAAGGATCTGACTCTTGAAAGGCAAACACAAATTTCATTTTGGAGGTCACATTCAAATAAAGTTGAATTTGATCATATTGTATCAAAATGGTGGCTTTTGTCCCTCCATGAAGGAGAAAAATCTGGTCAGCCCTGCCTGTATCTAAAGAATCAAATTGGTAGTGTTCTCTGGCTATTGCTGTTGGACTTACTTGAATCACTTTATTTAGATTTATCATTTTGCAGGTGTTGTTGGTGACCTATCTGGATTAGTTCAGCTGGGTTTTATGATTACTTCACCTGGCGTTGAGGAATACTTCTTGGCTTAGATGGGCAGGTCTGGAATAGTTTGCTAGTTCTGTGAAGTGTCTCCCAGCTTAAGTTGGCTGGTTTTTAGATTCATGTGGTCTATTTTAACATTAGTCTTCTGTCTGTCTGGAGGGATGTTGTATCCTACTCATCCGCCAGGTTCGCAGCTATAGTCAGGGTCCCAAAGTTTCTGAATTGTGTAAAGGAATGTGTAAAAGCCTTTCAACTTGAAAAAGCCTCAAATGAAATATATTTATATGAGTTAAACTTTTCCTGTCCCTGCTCCCTCCACCAGGCATGTGAACGGCTGCTAGCCTTCCGTGTGGAGCAAAAGTTCAAGACCAACAAGGTGGCAGCCGTGGCTAACAGACTGCATGTGGCCATGCCCAAGAAGAGAGATAACAAGGTGAGAACTGGCAATGTATGACATTGGATGAGCAAGTGTGTGTGTGTGTAGCACTGTGTATCAGATGTATGTGTGTAAGTGATAGGCTGTCTTCTTTGTTCTTATCAAATAACACCACTCAGGTGGTTGGATGGCTCCACTGCTTCTTTTCCTTTTTTTTCCTTCTGTTGTTTTTCTGTCTTGGTTTTTCTCTGCACTGAATAACAAAATGTGTTTCTCATCTTTGCTCAAAAGAAATATTGCCTTGTGTTACATATACATGGTGTATTGGAGATGTGAAATGTCTAGTGGTCTCAGTTCAGTGTGTACAAACGCATCAATGCTCAAATGTTAAGGTTTTGGTTCAAGTCTTGTGTGCTTTTTCCCAGGAGCGACCCCCGTGCATCCCAGAGAAAATTCTGAAGAGAAAGAATGCTATGGAGGTGGACAAGCCAACCAGAAGGCTGGTAAGACATTCTGATTCTTTGCGTCATTCTGTCAGCTGGGATGGGAAAAGATCAGATAAAATTTCTCTTAGGTGACCCTGTTTGTGTCTATATATGCTTCTGTTCACTCAAACAAACCTCAAACTGTGAGTGGTTGGCAAGTGCTCTCGTGTGATCTGTTCCTTCTTTCCTATAAAAAGTTTGTTGTCCTTATCTCTCCCCCCAATAAGTTTCTCTCAAGTAACACCTCTAATCTTCGGCATTTATATGATCTATTTGTGTTGCAGGTGCCATTAAACTCTTACTAGTACACACTAAACCTCCAAATGTGTTGCGCAGGCAGGGTTTAAGTGTGCGTGTTGTGAGATCTGTGTTGTAGATCTTCTGTTCCACTTCTCTCATGCTGTGATGTTTACAGCCTGTCGTGTGGGAGAAAGGAATATTGATACTGTATGCATGCATGTGCTGTATCATATCGCCACCCCACCTATCCTTTTTTTCTTGATGATGGCTACACATAAATGTCCTTTACTTTCTCCCCAGGAGAAAGACATCGAGCAAGAAATGGGAGATGACTATATATTGGATCTGCGAAGTGAGTCCTGCAACTTTTACTCACTTTTTTTTCTGTCTATAGTCCACACCCTTTCTTTTCCTCCTCTTTACATGAGATTGATTTTTTGCGTTTGCTTATAAATATCTTTCTTTTATAGCTCATTTTAAAGTTCAGTGTTTTATTACTATACGCATGTATTTACTACAATCTTCGTAATTTAATGTTTATTCGCTTGATAAAAAGTTGTAGTGTCTGCAATATTGGTAGATCTCTAAGTTCCTTGACACTCCCAGAGTTCTTCTGTTCAGAGTAGATTTTTATGATGAAGTGAAAATTGCTGTGATAAAAAGTGATTGTGTTCGGTGGAAAAGTGCATTGGTATTTTTGCAAACCAACAAAGGACAAGGTGTTCAGGTGTGTTTTGAGACCATTAACAATTACACAGGTCGGTGGTGGTGGGGGGCAGGGTTTGTGACTGCTGACTGTGTCATTTCTCTGACAAATCTTGGGTGCTCTGGTGTAGTTTGTTTCTTCTCTCCCATCAAACATCTTTTCTTTTCTTTGCATATTACGCTCTTGTGACACCTCTAATCATTGGCACCTACATGACCAATTTGTGTTGCAAGTGCCATAAAACTCTTTATGAAACTGAGCCATTACCCTTGACTTTGGTGGGTGGTTGATGGATGCTCTGGTGTGGTTTGCTTCTTCTTTCCTATCAAACATCTATTGTCCTTATCTCCCCTCCTTCTTTTTTATGTTTGTTACTCTCTTGTAACACCTCTAATCTTCTGGCGCTCATATGACCTTATGCAGTTGCGAGCACCATAAAACCTCTACTAAAACAAACAAAACCCTTGACTTATGACCCTCCCTTTCCTCTCTCTCCAGAGACCTGGCTACTGGCCAATGAGGAGGAGAAGTACGACGTGTTGCCGGAGATCTGGCAGGGCAAGAACGTGGCCGACTTCATTGACCCAGACATATTGAAGGTGAGACAAAATGGTTGATCACGGGGACACTATTGGCAGTAAAAGTAATGTGTTAAAATCGCACGCACACACACACACACACACACACTGTTTTAATTGACGATCGCTGTCTACTTTGATAAAACTTTCTTCCACAAATGTTTTAAATACCTCATTATTTTCAATTTCAAATACATTTCTGCTCTCTATGACAGAAACATAACATCAAAAATAAATTATTGTAACTCAAAAATATGAGTACTAGATCTTGGTGTATCTGTGTTTTATTTTTTAGCGTGATTCCGACATGCGAAGTTCTCAAACATCTCCAGATCTAGTATTTTTTATAATAATAAGCCAAGTGAAAAGATGTTGGGCCTTTATTAGGTCAATATATTTAAGAAATCTGCATTTTCAGAGGGAAAACACTAAACTAAAGCTTCGTATAAGAATTATAGTGCATTTTTGGATTGTCGTCTTACAATAAATATGAAATCCTGATTTTTTTAAAGATTTCCTAGAGTGGTAGGTGTGGTGATTCTGTCATGTATTTATGTCAGTTGTCACATGTTTGTGTGTTGTCTTGCTGTCACTTGTACTGGGTTTTTTTGTTGTTTTTTTTGGGGGGGGGGGGGGTTTATTTGTTTTTTTACCTCTATCTTCTGTGTGAGCGGTTGCAGGTAGGATTCACCTCCCCCCCCCCCCCCCCTCTATTATTTCTTTCTTTGTTTTGTCTTGCCTTTTTCTTGCACAATATGGCTGAATGTCTCGATGTGCTTTTGTTTACTGAGTGGGTGGTTGGCAGGTGCTCTGGTGTGGTTTGCTCCTTCTTTCCTATCAAACGTTTATCGTCTTATCTCCCCTCCTTCTATTTTATGTTTGTTACTCTCTTGTAACACCTCTAATCTTCGGCACCTATATGACCTTTTTGTGTTTCAAGTGCCGTAAAACTCTTACTTAAACTAAACTGAAACAAAACTTTTTCTCTTTGTATAATGTTAGAAACTGGAGGAGCTGGAGAAGGAGGAAGAAGCGAGGGAGAATGCCCATTACTACAGCGAGAGTGAGAGTGAGGATGATGAGGAGACCAGAGAGATGAGGAAGACCGCGAGGAAGTAAGCCTTTCTTTTTGTCTCTATCCATACTTCATAAACCAACAATCTCCACTCTTTCACCATGTGTTGATCATATCCTCACTCAGCTCTCTTTATCTATCTCTCTTTCTTCATCTTGTAAACCCTTACACCCATATCCTTCTGTACAGGCACTCTCACCTATTTCACAATCTTTCTTTCTTCTCTTTGTCAACCCCTGTTCCTGTCTTTTTTTACGTCTATCTTCAGTCCCTAAATCTTACACCCAACTCTCGCCCTCCTTCTGTATTCTCATTTCCTGAACTCACACTTTCACCTCTCTCACAACTTCTTTCTTCTTTTTCTTAACCCATTTTTTTTTTTACCGGACTCTCTCTCTACCTCTCTATCGAATCCCTCATACCCAACTCTCCCTCCATCTGTTTGTCCCCTTTTCCCAAACTTGATGACTGTTGACATGCTTCTCTTTAGTAAAATTAACTCCGAACCCCATCGGACACTGGTAGCGTCCTGCAGTAATTACCCTGTTCCCCATCAGCTTCCAGTACTAGTGACAACTGTTTAGTTTTATTTAGTGCTAGTTTTTTCTTGTTTTTCGGAATTATTTCCTAATTTTTTAGTAATATCTAAGCATTTACTCCCGCTATTTAGAAATTGTGGCCAAGCTTTTGGGGTTATAATGAGACATAGTGCACTAGGTTTAGGTGACCAAAAAAAATACTCCGGGAAACGGTGGAAAAAACTCAGGGCTTAAAGAGTTAAATAAACCAGCGTCTGTAGAGGAGAGGTTTTAGGCTCTTTTTAGTAAACGTTTTAAGGTAGTTGCAACACAATTGAGTCGTATAAGTGATGATATAGGTTCTTTGCTGTTGCACTCAGAAGACTTGAACTTGGGGAGAACTGTGAAGGATCATTGTCTGTCTGCTGAGATGTTGTGTTCCACTCAACATGGGCTATGGGCTGGCCTTGACAGGTAGAGTCAAAGCAGCCCTCTTCGTAAATGATCTAAATAGGCAAACCGGTACCTAGTGTGATGTTTTACTTCTCGTTACTCCACCTTCAAAATCTTCACATTAAAAATGACTGAACCTGTTGTAAGGTCAATATGCTTTTCTTTACTCAAACCCTACATGGCCTCTACCTATTCCAGGATCCGAGAGAAGCGTCTGATACTGACCAAGGAGTCTGGCGAGAAGCGACGTGTGGAGAAGCCACGCATGCCTCGGCCGACCAAACGATCGCGGTCGCAGGCACAGCTGGAGGGAGATATGATGGAGATGGGAGTGGACGTGCCGAATGACGAACACGTAGGTGGACCTTGGCATTGTTGAACGCGACCCTGTTTTACTCGATCTTTTCTGGACTTTTTTTTACCAAAAGCAATTAGTTTTTTAAGATTTTTAAAACACCCTTTGAAAGATGATAATGTGTCAGTGAAACATTGCTGAAGCATTTATTTTGTCAAAATGGAATTATAACAGATTTAAAATATTTTTTTAGTTTCGAGAAAAAAAAAGAAAAAAACTATTTTCAAAATTTGAGAAATATTGCTGTTTCAGTTCATGCATAAACTTTTATGTTTATTTGTGGTCAGTATGTGTTGCCAATTTCCAGACTTATGTCAGTTGTTTGTGGTTTTAGTATCCTGTTGACTCAAAAAGGTTTCCTTGTCACATGTGAATCATGTGTCTTGGGTTAGACTTATGTGTGCTGTGTGTATGAATCTAAAAAATTTTGTATGTGACATGTGTTTACTGTATATTACACATGTGTGTTGTGTGTCCACAGAGCCACTACACTCGTGCCAAGAGTCGCTCCTCCAGCCGGCCACCCATCAAGCGGGCCCGCGACGAGTCTGTGGGTGGAACGTCCAGAAGCAAGTCACGAACCCCGCGCGACAAGTCCGGTCTCAGAGACTCCACGGTGAGTACACGGCAGGGGTCATGGGTCAACTCAGCATGGAGTCCTGTTGGTTCGCGCCGCCCGCCCGCGCCTCCTCAATAGGGTCAAAATACAGTGACACAGGCTTGCTGGTAGATTATGGGTTTGAATTAAACCGCTTTAAACTGATCTTTGGGGGGGGGGGGGTTAAAAGAATAAAAAGATATTAGCTTGAGCACGAGAGTGGAGATATTTATACTGACAATTGTGGCTAATTTGAGAATTTTATAAATTGGCACACCAGTCTATATGTACAAAATCTTTTCTTTTTATATTTTAGACACATGTATAGGAGTAAAATGAATATTGTTCTCCTTCGCATTGTGCTGAGACATACACATGTAACCACAGAGCTAATGAATGGTGCCAAGTGGCATAATGACTTGTGCCAGGGTTTTACTTTTAGTAGACTCCTCTGTTGCCATGCTTTTCAGTTTGATTTTTTTAAAAACTTAATTGGTATTGAAAAAGATGGGACTAGTAAAAACTATGTCAGGACCAGCCTCTACCCATGGCTGTTGTTTAACTTACATAAAAAGTATTGAGCACATCTACTATGAGTGAATAGGCCAGGCCTACAGATAGGCCTATGCAAAGTGCTTGTTTGTTTGAGTTAAGAGAAGTACATTGACACAATGGTCATTAGGTGCTGTGGAAAAGTAAGACAGAAACAACAGAGAATCTAAAAAAGTAGGAACCACCAGTAGTGCCCTCGAACCACCCGCATGCAAAGTGCGCTGGCCAACATGTGACATAACAGGCACCTGGGCAAGGTTGTAGGCATGCTTCTGCTTTTGACTATAGTTTCCTACAAGTGTTTTAGGAGTAAAATACAGGAAGATTGCATTTCCGATAAGTAATATTCTGTAGAAATTGGGATGCGACTTTTTGTGGAAGCAGCAGTGATGACTAAAAAAAATGATGAACTTGCTGCCTCTAATGCCATCATTGATGTCAACCACCGACCGATACAAACATAGAGATCAATTAAAGCTAGCTGTGTTACTCCTTTCCTATCAAACATCGATTGTCCTTGTCTCTCCTTTTTTGTGTTCATTACACTCTTATAACACCTCTATCTTTGGCACTTAAACCTTATTGTGTTGTAAGTGCTGTAAAAGTCTTCATAAAACAAAATGAAAAGCTAGCTGATGCAAGCAGGTGCTAGTATTATTCCCCAGTGTCTTTTACAGTGGAACTCGGATTCAACGAAGTCGTCGGGCCTGGCCTTTAAATTTAGTTGAATCTGAGTGTTCATTAGCAAACATGTAGTTTTTGTGTAGATAATTACAGGCTCGGCGCAAGTAATGTATAACATATTGTCTCAATTAAAAGTAGTTTGGTTTCAAATGAGAGACATTTTCGTTTCATCGATACCGAAGAAATACTGCAAAAGTACATTGAACTCTACCAAGCACATGCTGTGAAAAAGGTTCGGTTCCTTCAAATGCACGCCTGTGTCATCTATCATCTATAACGTATTGTCTGCCAAACAAGATATGTTGCTGTGTATAATGTAGCATACGGCAACGTTTGATTCCACAGTCCAGCGCGCAATTCATTACGTAGATCTATGTCGATAAGCTTTTCATTGTAATATTGATCTGCAGCCGGGGGAAAATCACTATGTCTCGTATGTATCTCTACTGACGTTTCACGCCCGCACTGCTTGTACCGCATCCCCCCGATACACGTACACACAGTCACATGTCACACATGTGCTGTCAGCCCGTCCGACTTCGACACACGCTAAGAGTAAGACATGGGTGCGTGATAACAATGCGTGTGTTGGTATGAAAAGAGGCCGCTGATTGTTGCATAAAGCAGTTCACCCTGCAAGCGACTTCGCTGAATCCGAATTTGCTCATTTATGTGTTCGTTAAGTTCAGGTTATTTTTATTAATTTAAAAAAAACGAGGAATCCAACTCCTTTCGTTGAATCTGAGTTTTTGTTGAAAACGAGTTCAACTGTATTCTCTATGCCCATCAACAAGACAAGAAGAATATTACTTCTACTACTACTACTACACTTGGTAGCTCGGACAAACTTTTCGTAGCATAAAGCATTTTCAGTGTTCTCTACCCTACCCTGTATACACTTGACACATTTTGCTTTGTTTATCCTTCCCTACAGATGGTGAGCAAGGTGAAGAAGATTGCGAAGAAGGCTCAGAAACCACGCAACCACCAGGCCAAGAAGGGCGAGGGCGACAGGGTCATCCTCAACATGAAACCCAAACATCTTTTCTCTGGCAAGCGAGGAGCTGGAAAGACAGACAGAAGATGAGGAGGATAGTCAGGTGGACAGATTGGATGAGAAGAAAAGACAAGAGTGGAGAGGAGGAGAGACAGACAGATGGGTGGGAGAAATTTGTTATGTCTACTGGAAGGAGGAATTATGCATTAATATATATATTATATGCATTACTGGACTGAGAAGAATAAAAAGAAAAAAAATTGAAACCCACGTTTTCAGTTTTGATTTTCTACTAATGCTTGTCTTTATAAAAAGTTGATCTAAAGTGTCAGTGCTATAGTCTTGCATGCACATAGCAAAATCGGCAGGATGTGAAAATCTGTCCCTGGTATAGGTCTACATATTGTAAATACATGTGTAAAACTAAAAGAAAACATTTTTTACTTCAAAATTTGTTCTATGTGCTTGTTTCGCAATGGGCATGCTATAGACTGTACAAATACACTTGAGCTTCATTATATTATTATTGCCACCCTTGGGAGAAGCATAAAGTTGGCAGTATAGTAGGGCTGGTGGTATGTAACGGGGTTCCAATGTTGTCCCCTCTTAAATTTAAATAGCCCAGACTGTCCAACGTCAAGAGAAATGATTTTACTGTGCAATCTATTTGAAAAGTGTCTTGTGTTTGTGAATTTAGAGCTGAACATTTTTATGTCTCTGTGTGTGTATAATCAAATTGAAAATTAAATGGATTGCACTGCCATAAGTTGACAAAATGCCTTTTTTCATTTCTGGCACCAAATTTTTTTAACTTGCTAAATCGAAAGCTTGATCAGTTATCTTACTACTGTTTGTGTGAAAAAATCAAAGTGAAACTGCAACTAGTTTTTGGCAATGGAGTGCAGGATCAGAGGCTACATGACATGTCAAACGGAAGCTATTTGAAATCTGGGGGCTGGTGGAATGGGTGAGGAGGGAGCAAATTGACAAGCTTTAAAAGCCTTGTCACAGTGCACTGTGTGTGATATGTACCTCTGGCTGCACAGCGGGCAAATTCACATTTTATTAAGGACTGTACAACTCTGTTGGTGTCGTGTAAAAAGTTGTTCCCGCATCCGATCCGGACATTGGGAATTACCTTGTTAGTGAGACGACTTCCCGGGCCTCCGGCATATTGTGGTAGGGTGGCCAGTTCCTTTCCGCGCCACCTTTCCTTCCCCAACTCGAAGTCGGGTAACCATTACTGCTGAGGGGGGGGGGGTGCGAAAAAAAAATCTGTCGGAACCGAGGCGCGAACCCGGACTTTCCGCTTCGGAGACGAGCGCTCTAACCGCTCGGTGTAGTGTAGTGTAATGGCACAAACTGTAGTCTCCGCTTAAGATTTCTGTGTTCAGGAGTGGGGACGAGGGATCTTAGGGGAACAGGATCTTTGCCAAGGCACCAAGGGAACAATCTACGGTGACTCATGTAATGTTCAAGCCCACAACCAGTGGAAATGGTCTCTCTTCACTTTAATGAACTGACGTGACTCCTACTCCTAGGTGGGTTTATGACATTTGGCTAGCAAAGAGTGGTCAACCTTGATGATGAATCTGTGGCACGAGGCATGCCATTTTCACATATTTTCCTATTGTGAGCCTCAAGATCTACGCTTATCCAATTGTTCCTACCCTTCACTTCACCTGTCCAAAATTTAGCTTTCCATCTCTGACCGAGTTCCTCCACTTTTGTCATCGCACACCATTGTGTTGTGACCACACCTATTATTAATTAAACTTCAGTCTGTCTTGTAAATTCGGGAGTAGAAACGACTGCTGCACTGGTCAAGGAAGAGTTCACAGTTCGTAATGGACATGTGATTACATTCACGAGAGTGGCTGATCTATGACTCGGCGGACAGTTCAATAATCGCAACTCTTGGTAATCTGCTGAGCCCTCCTCTGCGTCTTTGTAGTCCTTAAATTATCATCTGAATTGCGGGATCTTGGCCTAAGTCAAAACTCTTTTTTTGTGTGTGTGTGTTTTACAGCGCTCACAACTGCATAAGATTGTATGAGTGCGCAGGACGCACTAAACATTTTCAGTTGGGGGGAAATTTTGAATTTTGCCCGGGTGGCAGCCGAAGCCTATTCTTATCGATTTTAGAGACCCCCACCCCAAGGGATCTGTAACTTGAACGTGCGCAACTTGCACACGGGACCTCCGAGAAGGCTAGGTGTAGATCTTTCCTACTAGAAGATCAGGGGTGTGGCTGAAAGACAGCAGTAAGGAGCCAAGGAGTAGCAGTAGAAAGGCTGCAGAGAGAGTTGGGGGCCAAGAGGAGGGGGCAAAGGAGGTGATAGGGTGGGGGCAGAAAGTGGGGATGAAAGCAGACAGAACATAGCAGGAAAGGAGGTAAGAGACAATTTAGAGGGGAAAATTTTTCCGTCGCTACCTGGATTCGAACCCAGGACCTTTGAATGAGAGGAGAACACCTTGACCTCAAGGCCACGAGGGCCCCCTTCGGAGTGGGATCTTATTCTTAAACTTAGTGTAGTAAGGCGTTCCTTTTCATACATTGGCAAAACCAGACGATAAGCAGGGATAGCGGTACACTTTGTATTTAACGGGAGGGGGGGGGGTTGGATTCAAAAGTCATCGGGCCTGACCTTTAATTGAATCCGAGTGTTTGTTTTTCTAGCACACAAGAGCTTTTTGTGTAGATAATCAGACTATTTAGTCATCGAGAAAGTAATGTATGGGAAATAAGTTGAAGACTACCCTGAAATGCCTGTTTTTGTTGCCCCTTTTCAACTTCCTCAATCAAAAGTACACTGTAGTTTTCTTTTACATATTGAGAGGCCTTTTCATTTCTTTGAAGCTATACCGAAAATGCTGGAAAATTCCAGGAAAATACTCTGAACTCTACCGGGAGCCAAGCACATACGGTATGGCAAAGTTTGAGTTTGATTCTACAGACCAGCGCGCTGCAAAACTAGCTTATTTCATTCTAATGTTGATCAGAACCAGGGTGAGGGGGGATATGACTGACACGTTTGTATCTACTCACATTTCACGTCTAGACCGCTCGGGCCCCTTCCCCCAAATACACGTACATAGTCACACCTGTGCTGGCCGCCCCTCCAAACCCGACACAAAGACACGACGTGCAAGTGCCAACGTTTGTGTTGGTACGGTATGAAAGGACGCCGATTGGTCGCATTTATAAGATAAAGATCTAAAAAATAGGCCAGGCCAGACTAAGTATGCCTACATGTAAATACATGTAATGGTTCTCACGAAGCAGGTGCCATGGATGGTTCCCAGGACAAGATACAGTGCATTGCGGGGACGGTTCACCCTACTACAAGCGACTTTGTTGTATCTGAGCTTCTTGCTCATTTGTGTTCAGTTCATTGAATCCGCTTTATAATTTATTAGGATTGATTTTAATGAATAAAACGAGCCAAGAGTCCATCTCCTTTTGTTGAATCCGAGTTCCACTGTATAAAAGCTATCACGAGTAAATCGATAACATTTTTTAAAGTTAAAGTATACATGTACATGTACCGTATTAACCTAGCAACGTCAAATGGAACCGACGCGTATACCCTTCATCACTATCACAGCGATTTACCCACTGGAATAAAAGTAGAGCTCAATCCAGATGCGACAGTTTATTAAAGATGAGGAAGCATTCTGACATTAGCATAGCACGACCTCAGTGGTTTCTTGTATTTTTTTCTTTTTTTTTTGGCAAGTGTTTTACGGCGCTCGCAACTGCATGAGGTCATGAGCGCGCGGGACACACTAGATATCTAAACATTTTCAATTGGATTGGTAGGAAATTTTCGATTTTGCTCGGGTGGCGGCTGAAGCCTACTCATCGATTTGGGACCACCAAGATTTTTCGCCGTTGTCCGAGAAGGCTAGGTGTAAATCTTTCCTACCCGAAGATCAGGGGTGTGGCTGAAAGATAGCAGTAAGGAGTCAAGGAGCACCAGACGACTGCAGAAAGAGTCGGGAGCCCACTGGAGGGGGCAAACAAGGTGAAGGGGTTGGGGAAGAAAATGGAGACGAAAGCAAACAGAATATTGCAAGAGAGAAGGTGAAAGGAGACAATTTAAGAGAGGAAAATATTTCCGTCCCTACTCGGATTCGAACCCGGGACCTTTGAAGAAGAGGCGAACACCATGACCTCTTGGCCACGAGAGCCCTCATCGTATCTCCATTTTTAATAACAGTGAAAACAGTTTAAAACAAAGAGTGAGCTTAAGAAGTTAAAGAAGTCATTTTCACAGTTTAAAAAATTGGACATACAACAAAGCACTGAGGTGGCGATATAGAGGTAGGTGGTTGGTGGGTGCTCAGCTTTCTTTCGTATAATTCATCTTTTGTCCAATCTTCCTTCTTTTTTTGTGTGCGTTACTCTCTTGCAATACCTCTAATCTTCAGCATATTTACATGACGTGTTGCAAGTGCCGTTTAGTTTTAGTATGGTTTTACTGCACTCGCAACTTTATAATTATAAGGTCATATGAGCGCCAAGGGGTGGATGTCAACATAAGTCCAAACAGCGTAAAACTTACAAAATCTAAAAATAGCAAAGCTGAGCAGGTAAATGAGACGGTACGTTGCCACGAGACTGATGACCAGCCTGTAGAAAGGAAAAAGCCAGACATAACAGATCAGATCAATGGGTGTTGATCAAGGTGAGATAATGCTCTACTCGACACAAAGTCTACTTAGAAGAGAGTAGAACCCAAAAATATTGAAGGAAAGCAGTAGTTTTGGGGTTTTTTCTCCAAATTTTTGGGCAAATGGTGGTAACTTCATACGCTGGTATGTTCTATACACAAACACTTCTGAAATGTGTCATAACAAGATTCAGTTTACAATTAAACCTAAGAGCTCAATTTTTTTTTAAAAAGGTAAGAAAACAGGTTTGCTTTGCTGTTTCCATTTTTATTCTTTCAAATAGTGCAGTTCGCGACAAAATGCATTTTTCAACCTGGAAGTAGCATTCCTGAGGCCTGATCATGACTTACCGACATGCATTTTTGTCAAATGTTAGACTTTTATTTCAAAAGAAAAAAAAAAACCAAACGGAATGAATGAAATAAGTGAGCCAAGGGACTGTACAGGGATATATGAAAATGACTATGATACATTGTGAACACAAGGGTGGATCTCTGTGGCTGCTTCAGATAGACAGGCTGTCAGTTACTATTCTGATATAATACAAACAAAACCAGAGAGTAACATGACCATTAGCCAAACTACCAGACTACTACAGACATATATATATCTATATATGAGACATTACACATTTTTCTTACATGATACACTTTTTATGTACACACACATGAATTATGAAATGGTAACAAGATACCACATCTCATTTTAACACTTGCAGAACATGCCCATGTATATTTCAAACAAACCAAACCATCCCCTCACTGAGCACATAGATACATCCATTCTCATCCTTTCACACTCAATTCTAATTTCCCTCTTTCAGTTTACGTGAACGCAATTAGAAAAGTACAGTCGAACCTGTCAAGAAATCGCAAGGCGTCAGAATAAAATTCAGTCTTAGACATTTTCCATCTTGGGCAGGGGAATTTCGGGGGAGAGGCCTAGCCAGTGGGAACAGTTGCCTGTCTGGTAAGCAAAAAGTTGTCAAAACTTCATCTCTCTTATTATGTGCTTTCCTAGTCTCTCTGATAACGGCATATGTCAGTCTTATTCATCCATTGCCATCAGTGCTTGCATCTCATACTCATGGGACCACTGGTTGATTAATCTAAAACGGAACAACTGATCTTTGTTTCCACCCATAACCCCATCCATCAGTATAATAAGCACAATTGACCAATGTCATCCTTCCCGTGTATGTGACCAATGATTCAAGGAAAATTTTTCTCGGCTAAACGGCATAATGCAAACCAAGGCTAACATAATATGTATGTACAAATTTTAATGAAGGTGCCAAGTCGAGAGGACACAGGACAGGAGTGTATGACATAACCAGTAGAAAAAACATGCTCGCATCAAATACACATTTTTATACCCACACAATCAAATATTTATGAATATAATATCCTTTTCACTCACTCAAACGTACCATAACTGTAACCCTGCAAATTCGCACAAATTACACTTGCTGCCATACAACTTGAAACATTTCACGCAGTCCCAGTCTGCGACAAACATGCCCATAATGTGCAAGAACTTTCAGAAAGCTACGTGTCCTTGTCACAGCCGACATATTCCTGTGAGCAGAGAGAGACCGTGGACAGTCACTAGACAACCAGGAGCTGGCGTGCAGGACAACGCTTGTGTAAGGAAACCGCATGATGTGAAAACTAGAGGTGGGCAAAATCCGGATAATCTATCCGAATAACCGGATAATCAGCAATGAAACATTGTCCGAATTCAGACTCTTTAACTCACTTTCCTGACCTGCTTGCCAAAGTGGGTGCACCCATTTGTTGAAGTGATGCTTACCCGTTTGTCGATGTGGTTCTAACCCATTTGCAGAAGCGATTCTATCATATTTGCCGAAGAGGTGCACTAACATATTATCCGGATTTTTGCTAAAGCGACTCCTTGCCCAGCTCTAGTGAAAACACTCGCCACATCTGTACTCGCTAAAGCCACGTGACCTGACGTCTTGAGATCAGAGATTCTGCTGGCCATTGTCAGTTTCCAACACATAGCTTCATCCCCCTGTACACACATTTGTCACATATTGATACCCACATCACAAAATAGTCTGTTGCTCTAATCCTGAATGTTGTAGTTGGGATGGACCACAATGATGGGATCCTCCTCCCTCACAAGTTCAGCTTCCTGTCCCGGCCGCGTCTTGAGGCCTGTCTGCGTCAGCTGGATCAACACATGGTCCTGGAGAGTCCAGAAAACAATAGGGGTCAACAAGCGTCAGCGACATAAGTTTAACAAAGAGTAGCACATCAAAACGATAACACTCATTAATTAAGGCCACTCTACTTCTTAGCACAAAAATCTACAATATATATATTGGGTTATTTTCACTTTTTTCTCATTTCCTAAAAGTATTCCATTCACGGATTAAAAATAATCAATTTTGGGAATCTATCAGTTACATATTCACAAAAATTGCACATTAACACATTACACCCTAACTCGCCCGGGAATTCCCTTACGCACTCCACCCTGACTCGCCCGGAACCACCCGCGCCGACCCAGCGTCTTTAGAAAAGAAAGTCTTGCCTTGACGAGACTCTGGGGCCGGGATTTTGATTTGCATAGTAAAGAAAAAGTTTCTTCTTTCGTTTGAAACCGAAAAGAAATTTTTCGGGCCAGTAGTTTTAGTATTAGAGCTAATCGAAGTGCGATCGCATTACCAACACTTCGAAAGTGTCTCGACTTGTTGAAAAGCGACACCATTGAGTTTGAAAACGGAAATAACGATGGATTTGAGCAAAAACGAGCATGTGACAAATCAGATGGCTCAGATTTTGATGAAAACGTTGTAGGAAGAGTTTGGGGAGATTCCGATTGATCAGACGGAGAAAATCTAGAATTTAGATCTAGGGCCCGACCACGAGGCTGAGAGTGAGAGTGACGGGTCGGACACCCCGATTGAACTTAAGTTAGAACATTTCCAACAGTTTGCGCATACATAAAGTTATATTTTTCTGAAACTACATTCAGTTTTCTTTTTAACTTTTATTTTTTCAGGATTTTTGGAATTTGTTTAGTATTTTTAAAATGTGTTTTTTAAAGGCTAGTATTCACGGGAGGTGGGTTCTTTCCCCTTGCTTAGAATCTAACAATGGACTTCCCGTCCAGGCCCTTAGGGTGTAATGTGTTAAAGTGAAACCGGGCTATTTGAAGGAACTTTCTTTCAAAAGCTAAAAACTCTAAAACCATCCATGAACTAATTACATATTTGTAATCTGCACACAAATCTTTAACAAATGACGATAGCTTTTCTTGAAATAGTTAATAATAATTTTATTACTTTTAGAAGGACTTGCATATTAACGAATGACAAAAATGTCAAAACATTTTTTTTAAATCACAAAAAGCTAGCGTCATTTTATTTGGCATTGCATGGTGCACTTACCCTCCAAATTTAATGTCTTTATCTTAAATGGTTTTTAACTTTTAAGTTCAAGAAATGAACATTTTGAGGAAAGGAGCAAAAACATCCCAAAATTGCTTTAAAGCATTGTATTGGCTCACAATGTTACAAACTTTATGGAGCTATCAGTTTGAAATAGAGTTTTGGGAGAGCTTCCATTAGATTTAGCATATAATTTTCAAGGGAAGTTTCTCAAAACCCTTAAAAAAAAAAAAACCCCATTGGAACCAAACTGGTCCCCAAAAACCTGTGTGTGGCCTAAAAGTACAAATAGGTAAAGGGGGAAAAGATCAAGATGGACTGACGGAACCCTCTGGGGGAAAGAAAAAAAGTATGACCTTACAATGGCAAGTGACAGCCAGTAAGTGTGACCAGCATAAGTTTGTTGGGGTAAAGTGAAGAACATCAACACGACAACTGTAATCAAATACTATATAGTCCTACACAGAGAAAGCAAGATGGACAGACAGAAACAAGAGACAGTCAACCAACACGTTGCACCAGTATCACAGAAACAAAAATATGACAAAGTAGGCCTACTAATTTTTTTTCGGAAATCCACTTTTTAAGAAAATTTAAGTGCTATTTCTACATCCTGCGTTTTTGAGGGGGTAACACACCATGTCCAGTCTAATGTTATTAATAAAGCTATCAACTTCCCCCTTTCACATATATTATATACAACCAGTAAAGAGAAAGTCAAAGCTGGAATTTCCTATTTATTTACTTTTTAAAATTATGCTACCTTCTACAGGAACATTTTCTCCCTGATCCACAACTCTAACAAGACCCCCAACTAATGCCATAATCAGGCCACAATTTTCAATTTATTCAGAAGACTAAATTATTCTTATCCCCTATGATTGATCACCATTTCCAAAAATCTCAACAATGCTGCTCTTGCCACTTCTTTAGTCTATCCCCACACATACTGAAAGATTGACCGAAAGCTGAGGGTCATCTCTCTTCTAACCATAAAAAGTATAACGCGACATGATCCCAATCTTTCAGTGGCTTAGAGTACAAAGCCCATTCACTTCCCAGGATGCTCATTGCACCTCAAAATGATGCCTAAGATAACGTCAACCAATCACATGTATGTCGCATGATATATCGGATAATCTGATAGAAGCTGAACACGTGAATGTCCCACACCAACAACAACTGGGTTGGGAGAATCAAAATGCAGAAGATGAGAGAAATTGGTGATGGAGAAGAACGAGAAAGTTGGGATGACAAGTGAGTGGGAGTCCACACTTACGTGATGTATTAGTCTGTCGATGACTTTTTCCACAACCGTTCTCTTCTCATTCAGTTCCTCTTCTGATTGGATATCATCCTGAATCTCTGTCAGATACCAGCCAATCACGTCACTTTTCCTCAGCCCAGTCTCATCCTCACCTGCAAAGAGAATGTCCCAAAAGTATGAAAAGTCAATTTTGATAAAAAAATATGCTCACAGATCTATTCATTCACAAATACAGTCAAACCTGTCCAATACAACCACTCCATGTCAAGGAGGAAACAGGTCACCTCAGACAGGTGTATGAAAGGGCGCAATTCTCTACACTACATACGAAAACAGGGCAGCTTTAGAGCTTTGAGTAAAGCACATCGACACAATAACCATCACTGATAGATGGGACAAAGTAACAGAAAATGAAACAATGCAGGAGAAAAAAAAAGAACACCATACCAATGCCCGCACTTAATATAATGCAAACTGGCTACCAAAAAAAATGGTCACCCCAGTGAAAACGCATGAGTGGTGACTCCAAATTTACACATCATTTTGTCTCATACATTTCGTGTCATGACTTTTTAACCCACTCAGTACCATTGGATTTCCAGTAGGAAGATGGCCCAGGACCACGCAAGGGGAATAAATCCATGTTTGTAATGTAGTGGGTATTTTGAAAAAATCATTATAAAATAACCAATCCATTGATCAAAAAAAAATCTTTAAACAAGTTCTTCACAAATGAATAAATTTTAATTTAAAAATGACATGTTTATTGTGTGTTGACTGTATTTCATAATTGAAGATAAAATCAGCCGAGACCTAGATCCAGATCTAGTCATATGCTCCTCATTGACCTCATTCTCATTGTCCGAATCCCCCCCCCCCCCCCAAAGACACAATTAGATCGCCATCAATGTCACTTTCACTTCAATTGCTACCATTCTGTGGGTTTTCTCCCCCAGCACTGATATTTTCATTAAAATTATCCAAAAGTTCCCGTAAATCAGCCTGAACGCGATGCCGGCGGCTTGCGAAGAACACTCGATCTTTGCTTGCGCGACCCGTGTGAACTGCAGTTCGTTTACATTGAATTTAGTCTAACTAAAATTTCCAGAGGTATGTCCCTGCTGCTCTCAAAGAGAGAATGATTATCTATTTTCTGATTGGTTGAAATGCGGGTTAAATACGATGGTTACCAAGCATGTACACTACTAGCGCGCGGCCAGTTACGGCCATAATGGTACTAGGCTTCTGAAACGGAGGCGGCCTGCTACGGCCGTTATGGTACTGAGTGGGTTGAATCAAGTGCAACAACTTTTCAACAAATGGCCTGAACTCAAACAAAAAATCCTGACAATTTCAGGAACCTGAAATTATCCAGGAATTCAGCACCTCAGCATAATAATATAAATGATTGGAGTAAACCATAGTGTACTGTGTTTCTCCACTCACCTGCCTCCTCCTCACGTCTCCGCATGTGCAGCACCAGCAAGTTGGCCATGTGTTTGTAGTCCTCGTACGACAGTCTCATCGCTGCCTTGGCCGCAGCAGCAGGAGGTGGGCTCGCTCCTGAAACCACTTCCTCTGTGGGGGCAGCTGGCTGCGCAGGTTCTGTAAGGCGAAGGACAAATGTTTGTTAGAATACAAAGAAGCACAGGAGAAAAGTGATTGAGACAAGTGGAGGTCTCAGACTATCGTATCGTTTTGGGTTTTTTTTTTTAAAGAAAGAAAGAAAACCCCAAGAAAGAAGTGGAAAATGGCCATTTATACAAGTGGCAATTAACTCACTCACTGCCATGCCCGAACCCTGTCTGGTGATCCGCGTAGACCGCTGCCTGCCAAACCCGAAGGGCGCGTTTTTACTACTCTTTTTCAAACATTCCCCGACGTGTTTCGGGCTTGGCAGTCGGAAGTAGGCGACATAAGCCAGTTTAGTTTCGATTCCGCATTGTTGCAGTAACTTCCCTTGAATAAGTTACTTCAGTTACGATGGCGACGGCGTCTCAACGAGGTCGGAACATTTGAATTGATGGACCCATTCGTCAATAAAGGGCCAGATTTAGATCTTCTAGCAGATGGTAGTGATGATGAACCATCATACAGAGTTGATAATGAGTATAGGAAAGGAAATAGGTGAAGTGCGGACACAAGTGAAGATGAAAATTGTGCTAGATCTAGGCATAGATCTAGAATCGGGTGTTCCCCACGCTCAGACCAATGATCCGATGCTTCCCGGCCCCAGTTCAGGCCGTCATGCAAACGTCAAATATCACACAACGTAGATTTAGACCCCAAATTATAGGAATACAGCTGACATAGACCCTCCTAGTCCTAGGTCTACACAACAAACTTCAAATAGTGGCACCCCTCCCCCAGTGGCCATGCCCTGTCCTGCAACCTCACACCCTGATGTTGATGCTCAGGATGGGTAGACTCATGATTATAAAATTTGTCAGATATCTTTTCAAAGTGACTCTTCAACATTTGTCACTTGATACAACATCTATTTCTTGCAGAGACAAAGATATAAAGGCATGCATATCGTCTGAATGTACCAAGCACCTAAATGTTTTGTAAAAGTTTTTTCTCTCGATTTTGCCACATATTCACAAACTCATAAAAATTCACGCGAAGGTATCACACAATTTGTTTTTGATTTGTTGAGTATGTTTCAATGTCACTGTTTGTGGAAAAGTTCAATGCTGTACACAAAATAATGAGCTCACAGTGAGGTTTTGAAAAAGGTCCCGAAAGCCTGGCATTCCTCAGTTACCCTGCGGAGAAATGCCTGGCAGTGAGTGAGTTAAAGCAGATTCTATTGTAAACTCAACAGAAACAAAAGAGAAAAATAAGCAGGAACCACCAGTGGTGTGCCCACCAACCGTCTTCACTGACTGACCTGTGTTTTCGTCCAGTTCCATGTCCTGCACAGGCTCCGGCTCATCCTCCAAATGGATGTCGGGCTGCTCTACACGGATGATGGATTTGTTCAAAAGCCGGAATGCTTCCTTCACATGCCGAGGCTGAACCTGAGACAAACCACAAACCATGCATGCAGACTTTAGTGAGCAGACAAGAAAGTTTGAATAAAGAAAAGCACAGCAACACAACAGCAGTCCTTTAAAGCTGGGGAAAAAGAGACAAACGCAAAAGGAGAAAAAAAAAGTATGGTATGCCTGTGACACCCTCCAACCACCCTAACAAAAGAAAATCCGGAACAATTCTTAAATATAGCCAAACATTTAGACCCTTTACAAAAGTCAGAAAAATGACCTCTGACATCCCCTCGAACCACCTGCCAGTCTCCTAGACAAATCATTAACCTCTGTTCATTTGCCTTAGCCTCTGAGAGAGAAAGAGACACCCCCTCCCCCCAAAATCTCTAATCACTACATTCATCATAGCTTCCAAGAAACCAATCATACTCTGTAGCACTTACCTCATCGGAGCAGTGCATGCGGGCCATGGCCTCCGACAGACGTATCATACTCTCTAACTGGCGCACAGTGATCCTCCAGGAGGACGAACCAGCCCCTGAACTGTCACGCTGACGCAGACGTTTGTACTCCTCCACCATGTAATCCTTTGATTCGCCGCTGATCTGAAACCACATGCAAGTAAAATAAATGAAATACGCAGTTAAAACAACAATTACACTCTGTCACTAAATTAACAGCTGCCGATACAATGTACCAAACAAAACAAAAAAGCTGAAACAACACACCCATGAACATACTGTACCACACACACAGGCAGCTGAAACAACATGCAGATACAGCAAATCAAACTGCTCTCTTGTGATAAAACACATTGGTCACCCTAAGACGTGCCACTGGCTACATGAAAAAAATTCTGAACTTTTCTTACTCTGTGGAGACATGAGCATGTAGCAATGCCAATGAAAATTTAAATTTTCACTTTTGCCCTTTTTTTTGGTACCTAAGAAAGAATTTTCAATTCTAAGAATTAAACTTTTTGAATTTTGAGAATCGGTTCATAAATAAAAGTTATGGGATTGTAAAGGTAGGCAAAATATGGATGACCCACATATAGGAAAATACTCCTAAAAAGTGGACCACGCAGTAGCAGATTCTGTAAGAAAATCGACGATATCTCGGTAACTAATCGGGAGTGTTCGAGAGAAACTTGGCTACCCGATGTGTTTTTGAGTGTGGAAATCATTTCTGCAGTCAGATTTACTACCAATTTCGTAGTTATTTTGTTATAATTAAAATTGTGGTGTACATATTACGATTTTGCGAAAAAGGGGTGTCGGGATGAGTCCATTTTATTTATAGCATCGTATCACAACATGGGATCTTTAAAAATATATGTCGGCAGCGTGACTAAATAATTGCAAAGCTTTTTATGATGACTTTAGACCATGCCAACCGTAAAAGATAAGTTAATTCAATCTAGCATGCCGTACAATTAAAAATTCTTTTTCCCCGTTGAGACGCGAACACCCCGATACGAGATAACCTCGCCTCGGAATACCCCCATTGCGATGTTACAGGGGGATAGAGGGAAAAACAACCGGATGCGCGCGCCCGCCATTGCCCTATTTCAAGTGACCAATGAACGGGCCCGGAATAGTCATGCGGGGATTTGTAGGCCACATACATTTGCCACGAGAGTGAGGGGAAAATGGCCGGTCTCCGTGCGAAGCCGCTTTGGATACGGGGGTAGTCGTGCATTTATGATCGGGTCTAAACAACTACTTGACACAGAACGTTCAAATCTGAGCACACTAAAGAGGATAGATAGATCTATTACCATCTCGGCGTTTAAATTCAAACTCCTTATAGTTTTCGGTGTACACAATACGAAAGTGTTCCCGACACCAAAAGTATAGGTCAATTTATGTGTACGAACTTCAACGTTCACATATCATTAGTTTGCCCTATTTTCTGATTGGTTGCTGAGTTTCATTCGGATTGGTTCGCAAATAGAGCAGACCGAGGTTGACAAAGTTAGTCACCTACGCTTCGGCCAGGTCCGCAAAATCGCCTGTGAACGGGGACCAAATTTTCGCCTCGCGGGAAAACCGATTGGCATTGCTAGAGCATGGGGACTCCAAGTTTATGAATCGTCTTGTCTTATGCACCTTGACCAAGAATATTTTTACATCAAGTGCAACAAAACAAGCAAAAAGAGACTAATGTAAATAAATGCATCAGCAGGAGTATATTATAAAATACAGATATTTACAGGATTTATCCAGAAAATCAGTGCCTCTACAATCTTGACAATGTATTATTTTTTTTTTTTTTTGTGGCTTCAGTAAAAAATTCTGATTCCTGTCGCTAATTTGAAGTTCCACTTTATCTTTTATTCTATTTAGTAGAGGTTTTACCGCGCTCGCAACTGCATACGGTCATATGAGCGCCAAGGGGTGGATGTCAACAGAGAAGCCTTTACAGGGAATCTGACCTACTCTGCTCACCTCTCTGGCTTCAACAGCACAAAGTCTTGTTTCAACTTTCAAGGCACCCCGGAAATAGTTGGTCACAAGAGTGTGACAAACATACAAAAGTACAGGAAAATGACGATAGTAAGGATTAGGAAAGAAAAAGCAGCAGTTCCCTGTAGAAGTTCAGGCACAGTTATGAGCATGACAATGTTGAATCAGCCCATTTACAATTCTACTGTGCATAAGAACGATAAATGTCCCCCCCTTTGGGAATGGCCTAAAAACACTTCAGACAGTGGCACCACCCCAGGGGGGGGGGGGGGGGGGGGTTCCCACTTTGTCTTGAGAAGAGACAACAGGCAGAAAAAAAAGACATTTACTTCGCAAGAGAACGATAAACAAAACAAGGGGGCAAAAAGTCAATTCACCTTGGGTTTGAACTGGCGGGCAAACATGATGTACCTCTGCATGTCTTCCACAGAGTAGATGCGGTCAACAGATTCCTCCGAGCGACTGTGTAGGTCCACGATGCGACGGGCGATGGCGTAGTCAGTCACCTATGCAAGAAAGGTAACTTTTTAAGAACACAAAACATTTCTTTTTAATCTCAGAGGGACAAACAGAATTGTTGTGGCAACTTATCAGGAAGAACAACACTTGCTTTAGTTTGAGTAACGAGATAACAGCCATATCATGCAGGGAAATAGTAAGGAAATTCCACCTACCAGTGGTGTCTTCCAACTTCTGACAGCTTTTGTTTGTTTTAGTGAGTTTTACGGCACTCGCTACTGCATAAGGTCATATGAGCGCTCTGACAGTTTTGCTTGTAGACAGAAAGGTCTCAGGTAGAGGGAAGGGTTTGAGACGAGATAAAACACACCGACACAATATAGGCCATAACGCACCTGGAAAATGAAAGAGGGACAGATAAAAACAGTGGGAAAGAAAAGTGGGACCCACCAGTGGCGAACTCCCACCATGCATCCATGCTGGAAGAGACAGCTATAGCTGCAAACTATTAGGAAGAACAAGACTTGCTTGAAGGTAGAAACAGGTACTCTCAGAAGAACAGGACAAAATGTTATGGGCTATTGGCATGGGAGAAAAAAGTGGTTTTATAGGCGGTTTGGTGTAGCCGGCTTTCTTCTCTACAGTGATACATTTTTTCAAATGTTCCCGAGTGAATAAACTTATAAATAAATGAAAATTTAAATCATGGCTGTGTAGTGCACCAAAAAAAAAGATTAATCAATACAGTAGGACCTACCAATGTCACCCTCAAACCATCACCTAACAAGTTCTCAGAGAAATGCCATTACCATTCTGGTCATGAGAACAGTAAGTATGGGACGCCTAGCCTCTTAGTAAAATTTCTTGAGTAAAGAGAAGCACATCAACACAAATTCAAAAAAAAATATTTAAAAATTTTTAAAAAATGTTTTAAAAACCCACCAGGAAGAGAGTCAGACTGACAAAAACAGTGGAAAGAAAGTATTGAAGGACCTACCAAAGGCAACCTCCAAGCCCCTGTAATTAAAAGGGGAAAAACAAGACAGAAAGAAAAGAGGAATAATCAGAGCAAGTCTATTCTAGACATGGGTGGAGGTCAAGGATGTTCACAAACCTCGTTGCATTCGTCCACCAAGATAAAGAACAGGTCAAACCGAGACATAATGGGCGCACTCATGTTGATGTTGTGTTTGAGCGACTTGGTTCTGTCGTAGCGGCCGCCGATCGGATTAGCTGCAGCCAAGATAGAGGTCCTTGCATTCAATGTAGCCTGTAGTGGTAGGAAAGTGACCATAATTTTTCTTTGAAAAAAAAAATTTTTAAATACCATCACAGCAACTGTTAAATACCCATAAGTACTATATCATGTAGTAACGTAAGAACAATAAATAGTGGGTGGTTGGCAGGTGTTCTGGTGTGGTTTGCTCATTTTTTCCAATCAAAACTCTGTCATCCTTATCCCTCCTTCATTTTTGTGCGTTACTCTCTTCAAACACCTCAAAGCTTCGGCACTTATATGATCCTATAGCGTCGCAAAACTCTTACTAAAACTGAGTACAATACAGAGCATAAATGCCCTCTAGCCCACTTCAAAACAGCAGTAAAACTATTCAGTTAACCAGATAAAAACTTCACAGCTTTAAGCAACAACGCCATTTAATTTTGTTAGCAGTCTTCTCTAAAACATGCGAGGACACTTAACAACAGTTAGAGAAACTCACAATCTGAGCTGTGACAGGCAGGTAAATTTTTTAAACCCCTAAGAGCCAAATGTGAATCTGTTCGCCTTGTAAGACAGTCACCAAAGCTTGGAGGGGAAACATTTTTTATATATTTTTTTTTACAAATTCCTCTCGGTAAAATTTTGCATTTCCTATAACCCACTGAATTTCAGCCCACACATAAACACTGAATGTAAGCCTGAGTGTAAGGTGGTGTATATCTAGCAGGCAAGAGCTCCTGTCCAATAAGCTCAAAGCACATGAGGTAACATCAAAATTCTTCCCAAGGCATGGCAGTTATCCAAATCATTCCACTACAACACTCCTCCTCACAGCCCAATTCAACACACACCACATCCTCCAGGACTCACCCGCACTCCAGCCTTGGTAATGGAGATGGTCTGCTGTTCCATAGCCTCGTGAATAGCCACCTGGTCGTGAGCTTCCATCTTGTCAAACTCGTCGATACAACACACGCCATTGTCCGCCAACATCAGTGCACCCGCCTCAATCACAAACTCATGAGACTCTTCATCCTGGAGGTAGGAAAACAAAGTTGAGTATGGAGGAAGTAGTCAATATGAACAATCCTGCAAAAACAGGGGCCAGCACAGTGGCGACTAGCAATGGCATGTTTGTAAAATTGTTCTATATTGGTGTAATATTGAGAATTTATGTATGTATATATTTCCCATTATGTATTTATGTATATATTTGCCATTTAAACTCAAATTTCCCCACAGAGATCAATAAAATGTCATTCATTTTATTTCATTATACTATTTAAAACAAATACAGGCATTCAGGTACACAGTATGGGATTCAAAGTCTGTCAACAGTAAACTCACCCTAACCACCGCAGCCGTCAACCCAGCAGCGCTACTAGCCTTGCCACTGGTGTACACAGCACGGGGAGAAAACTCCTCCACCTGCTTCAGGAACTGAGACTTGGCCGTGCTGGGGTCACCGACCACACAGACGTTGATGTCTCCACGGAGATGTGTCTTCTCAGTCGTCACCTTCGGTACACCACCAAACAACATGAGAAGCACGCCTCGTTTGATCTCATCATTTCCTGAGGAGGGCATTGACATTTTCTCTTTCTATGTTTGACTAAAGAAAAGTACATAAGCATAATAACAGTCAATTAGAATATAGAACTTTTTTTTTTTAAAGGACACCCCCCCCCCCCCCCCCCCCCCAACCCCCCGGGGGGGGGGGGGGGGGGGGGGGGGGGGGGGGAGAGAAGAGAGTGGGGTCTACCAGTGGTGTCAAGCTAATCCAATATGGACTGCATGCCAGTAAAAATATGCATGTGGAAGATAAGGAAAACTGCCTCTTTTTCAGCAACATTTTCAAGGGAAAAGAGAACTGGTATGTTTAGTTGGATCAGAAATTAAGCCAGGGAAACACTCAGAGAAAACTATCCACATTCTTTTAGGTTGGGTAGAGAAGCACATCCACACAACAAAAATTTAGCGGACGTAAAAAATAAACTGAAGGAAAGGAAAGAAGAACTTCCACCATCCAACCACTCTCCAACACGTCTTTATTCGCAATACATGATGCACAAGGTCAGAGCCAAATCACAAACATCTTGTGATGTCAAGTGACATGACTCTTATCATTACTATGGGGACAAGATAATTAAGGGAGTAGCACGCCACATTGAGAGGCGGGAAATAAGCAGACGTCGTCTGAGAGACACTCACTGAAAGTCAATCGAACACAGGACAAGGACAAGACAGTCCGAGTCAGCATTTTGTATAGTATTGAAACAACGAAAGGACAATGAAATGTTAGAACACACATGTTCGCACGAGTCTTGAGCCCATGTGTGAGTAAGTATTTACAATTGTGGTGATTATGAATTGAAGACGGGTTCCTTGTGTGTAGTTATTATGTACAAAAAGGATGGACGGACTTGTAGTTCTCTTTGTGATATTAAATTTGAGAGTGAGTGTGTGTGTGTGTGTGTATTTACCATGTATTGTGGGGAAAAGACTGCTACAGAAGTTGGTGTAGAGATTCTTGTCCTGGCTCATCTCGTACACTGTCTGCCACTCCTCATCACTCATCTGCTTCTTCAGAGCCTCTGCCGTGATCTCCTCCTCCCGGAAGGTAAGGGAACCCAGCTGAGAAGCAAACAAGGCACATTTTTCAGTTCTATAAACACATTTTGAAATGGACACAAATCAATTTAACAAATAAAAAGTATTTGCATAGCACATACCCCTGCTCAACAGCAATCTCTGTTCGCTTTGTAATCTATATTTACAGCATTACCAACATTGAAAGGTGAACGTGTAAAAGCAGCACTATGAATACATCCTATAATGGGATAGCACATTAAACAGATTCCACCACAGTCTCAAATTATAAACCTTCGAATCAAACAAAAGATTGGGACATTTTATACACTTGTCAACCCCCAAAGCAACAAGCAATAGCTCATGAGTACATTGAAGTTGACATAACTGTCTTAAGAACATATTCTGAGCATACTGACGCTATGATGCTCCAACATGGCAAAACAATCACAAAAGAAATTTTTTACATTTTCAATAAATAAAAGCACATTGACACCTGTCATGTGGTGCAAGAAACAGTTGAGACAGTAACAACAGAAGGAAAGAAAAGTTGGACCTACCACTAATGCCTAGAACTACCCGCTCATAACAAGATAACAAGAGAGATAGCTCCAAGGATGATCAACATAGCTTAACACAAACTCCCTGTACAAAAGTAGGAAGACACAGAACAACATGGGACCAACCAGTAAAACATTTTAGCATCTAAATTTTAGTGCAAAGAAAAAACTAGACAGGGGGAAAGTAAAATGAGGCCTTCCAATGGAGCCCTCCACAAAACAACTCTAGAAAGGGTAAGGCATTCCGCTCCTCCAGAAAGTTTCTATTCTAAAGTGATTGTACTTAAAAGATATGACTCACCCTAGAGTTGTTCGGTGTGACGGTGCAGGCCAAGAACGCCAGCTTGTACGTCAAATCGCGAACACCGAGAGTCTTCAGCCCCCTCACACCCTCAGTTTCGTAGCCCTCAGCACCGCGGCTAACTTTGGAAGATGTTTCAGCACTTGCTCCTGTTGGAATTAAGAGGAAAAAATACCCCACTGGCAAACAAGCAGCAACACTAACAAGCCCCCATTGTTTCAGACTAACAATTCTGTAAACAAAACGATAACACAGCATAGAAAAATGCTTCTGTAGAGAATCTAACCAAACACATGCTCCCGCCAGTACTTTAAGAGCTGACATCATGATGCAACAAAGAAGGAAATTTTCACAACTGTTGAGAACACTGAGTTGGGGTATATTCATTTAAATCAACAGATTGTATGACAGAACAAAATGTAATAAGAAAAAAAATATGGTAAAAACCAGACACAGAACAACATGGTGTCGACCAATAAAACATTTTAACATCTAAAATTAACCAAACCTCATTCTCCGCCAGGCCACAAAGGCAGACTACTGGTTAATTTAGAAACCTACCTGGCAATGACATGGAGCCCACATCGGGAACAACAATAAGGGTGCCTGTGAAGTCACAACGATCGCCAGCCTGGGCTGTTTCCACTGCTTCAGCTCGCAAAATAACCTCAACGCTGCAGGAGAATCAGAAACATACATTACAACGACACTGTAGGGAAACTATAAATCAAAAAATCCCTCAGCACTTCAGCTACACCACCACAAACATACGTCAAATAAAGCAAAATAAAGGTTGCTAAGGACAATTTTCATAAAGCAAACATTTTGAACACCATGTATGTAACATGACAGTGTCACAAAGGATGCCATAAAGGAAATCAAAGCATTAAAAAAAATGGAAATCATAACAAATGAACACATTGGGACATCTATAAAACTGCATCTCTGAATCATCCCCCCCCCCCCCCCCCCCACCCCCCCCATCTCTCTCTCTCTCTCTCTCTCTCTTAGAGCAGAGGTACCTTGATGGGTGGGGGCACGTACATTCACCGAACCCTTCAAGCAGGGTAAAAAGAATGAACACACTCAGTGCGTGTGTGCCGTAACTTCCATCGAATCCCCGAGACTAGCTCACCAAACTTCTGGGGTTCAATTGAACCACTGTCAAGACAAACATCATTGTCTTACAGGACCATTAACTAAGCACATAAATCTTCCACAACAACACAGCAAGGGGGTAAAGTTTACCTTCTGGGGATGCTTCCACGAGGCAATTCAGCTTGTGTCTCCTGGATTCTCACTTTCTGAAAGTCCACAAATCTCGACTTGTTGACATCCAACATGAACCGAGATCTGTTAGCACACACTGGGTTACGACAGATAGTCGGCTGGGGGTAAGAACAGAACATTTTTTCCATCAATAACGGAAGGTTAAAAAAAAAAGACTTCCACATCGAAAAATAAAACCAAAAAAAACACTTTGGTGTCTACCAAAACCAAAAAGCCCAAACAAATCAACAATAAAAAAACTCATGGGTGACTAATAATTATAATAGCACCAAAACGACTTTGTCATATTTGAAATGAACAGAAAAACTTGCATTTAAACTCAACTGCCAATTGAGCATGTATTTGAAATAGACAAATGTGTATTAAAACATCAGCTTCCATTTAATTCAGTTATATTAAAAGTATTTGACTTCAATTGACTTAGGTGGCAGCATGTTCATGTAAATCAGAACTCAACTGACCTGTGTGTACTTGAACTGCTGCTCCACATCCTTGATGACTGTGCGGCAATCCAGACAGACGAATGTGCCACTGACCAGCTCGGGGTGCACCGGATGAGTGCGCACCACCTGACCTGTGATGCGTAGCAACGAGCCAATCTTCACTGTCGTCATCTCACGCACCCTGGAAAGAAAACAAGGCATAAATGACAGATCTTAAAAAGATTATTATATTTAGCATTGATAAAGAGCAGGTCTCCAATTTTCTGAGAAAAAAATTATTTTTTTAAAAATCAATCCCTATCACTCGTTCTTGACATTATATCCCCATCACCAACTGTTGTATGTCCTCATAAAACTAAGACATAAAACAATGCGGTTCAAAAAATGAAACACCACAACTAGAAAAACATCACAAGGATTGATTTGAGGATCAGAGCAGCCATCATGAACAGTTTGAATAAGTCTATGGAGTTCTTTATTTCCAGTCAGTACCAATACTATGCATATATAATCAACCTCTGATATTACACATCACCCTCATCTCATTTCTTTGCTCTGTTACATTTAATTGCAGTACCCAGCAAAACAGTGAAATGTGGCATTTTCCAGCTGAAAACCAAAAAAAATAAAGGATGAGACATAACAAATTCTGTTTTCTCTAAACTTCAATGGAACACATGAGATGACAAGATGACATCTCTCTCCGGAAAATCAGGACACAATAAAATCGTTGCAATCCACCTGCCACCACAACAAGATAACTTACTTAAGCCTGGTTGGAACATCAGTCAAGCTGAGGTAGAACTCTTTCCCCGCCGGGATCTGACCCCAGTCTTTGGCATAATTTCTGACAGCGCGACACAGGAATGGATACACCCTGCAAGCAAAAGTAAAATCAGCCATGTAAAAAAAAGACAATATAAAAATCAAATCAAAGAAAAAAGCAATCAAATTTTCCTAAAACTGACACAAAACCAAAACACAGGTCATCCCCATTCACAGGTATAACATTAGCCAACATCAACAGAACGTCATCTTGTTCAGGCTAAATAAAATCGCAATACTACCTGAACCATCAGACATTGTCACCATAAATAACATTTTCTACCCAATTATAATATTCTCCCACAAACTATCACAGCCATCACTGAAAGAACCTTTTTATTGAAGTCTCAACAAATCATTATGTGGTCCGTGTCGACGGAACCTCCAGCTCGCCTACTAGACCTCAAATAATATTCTCCCCAAACAATTGTAACCAATCTCAATGTCCATGCCGCCCTAAACCATTAGCGTTGTAATTATAGTAATTGAAGGGGTCTTTAGGTTTGGCCACCTTTATTCTCACTCCTCATGACCCGCTATTCTCACCCCCACCCCAGTGTGAGCATGAGGCGAGCCTTCATGTTCTTAAAATTACTTTACGATACTAGATCTAGATTTATAATTGTGAGAACCCGTAGGTATTAGCAGTAGCAGCGTTCTGCTCTTGACATGTCGTCCTTGCATAACCATAGATCCTGACTAGATAGATCGTTTTGTGTGTGTGTGTTTTTCACTGTTGCTTGCTGTTCACGGTATGAAATAGCCTTCACCCAGCCCATTAAACAAACTAAGCCTCAAACTTATCTCTATAACTTAAGTTATTCTCTGTGCTGTTCTGTGTGTCTGTGCTATGATATAGACTATTATAGGCCTACTGTATGTTAGCACAACAGAAGGGGGTGAGAATAGCGAGACAGGGCCATAGAGGCTATTCACCCCTGCCCCTGGTGAGAATAACCACTTCCTTAAGGTTTACGCCCCTATTGACACCATAATTTAGTTTAAATTAGACCATTCAATGATCTATGAGGCAGGCTGACTGGGATAACCTGGGCTGAGGAGAATACCTCCTGGAATAAAGACAGATACTTGATCCAAATTCTCCCCTCATGCCTCATGGAAATCAAAAGTCCACGTTGAGAGAGCCTCCTCCACCAATCAGCAACTTCCCCAGATCACAGCTGACAGAACTTTCACCTACCTGTAATATTCCTCCAGGACAGTTGTGGCGAGCTGCTGGTTGTACGACTCTATATCCTCGAAGCTGACAGTCAGCGTGTTCCGCTCTGGCCGAATCAAGTCTTGGACAGCTGCCAGGTACTTCGTCTCTCCATCAGCAGAAAATCTGGAGACAAAATGATAATTTGATATTAAATAGCATCAAAGGAATAAAAAGTAAAGCAGGACTTTCGTAATGAGCTACCACTAGATCTAGAGTCTAGATATATAGATTTAGATCTAGATTATTTATTATATGAGACAGAGTAGAACAGAGGGGTAGGATAAGGATAATCTAGATCTAGAGATCTAGATAATATAATAGGGCCTAGATTCTAGGCGACACTAGAAGACGGTAGACTAGAGGGGAAGGGTGACCTTTATATTGTGTTAGTTTATGTTGTGATGGTGGCCCAGCGTAAAAATAAAGAGATCTTGTAGCTTGTTAGGGTCCCGCAACGAGCGACCACTATGAGACAGAGCAGAATTGAGGGCTTGGGGTAGAATCTAGCTAGGGACTAGGGGTAGGGGTAAGGTTAGGGGTACGGTTAGGGGTAGGGTGGGTTGGGGTTAGGTCTAGATCTAAATCTAGGCCTCTTCTTTATTGTGTTTGATGGGGTGGTCGCTCGTTACGGAAGTCCTTCCATTCTAGATCTAGATTAGATCTAGATCTAGATTCTAGATCTAGATCTAGATAAGTCTACGGCTAGCAATCGCCAGTCACACCACAGCAGAATTCGCGTTCGCGCAATCATACTCAAACCAGCACTGTCACCACATAGGCTACCGTCTGCAGTTCGACTGTACTTACTCGTCAAGAAAATCCTGGAATAATTTCTGGCATCGTTCTCCAACCTGATCCTTCACCTGATTTGTTCGCACAGCTTGTTCGGCTACATCCATGATGATGCGAAGATAATTGGGAAAATGGAAGAGAAAATTGACAGTGTTGAATACAACGCTGATAGGACAACAGCAGCTAAGCCTAACAAACGGCAAGCGCAGGGTCTACCAGCCAGCGCGCCAAATTGGTCACGTGACTTTTCCCGCGAGTGACGTAGGCCTAGTCATTGATGTTTTCTGTAGGCTGTATGCGAGAAGGCCTTCTCGGCTGTAGGCCTGGGCCGAGGCTACCAAAATAAAGCTTTAGTTCCGGTATCCTCGGCCTGGGCCAAGGAGATTAAGTTCTAAACTCCTTGGCCTGGGCCCACAAAGATAGTGAGTGTGTAGGCTCAGCTGTAGACCTATTATGTGGGCCTAGCAAGGAGTTTACTTTTTAGTTCTAAGCTCCTTGAGGCCTAGCCAGGAAAAACGTCCTATCTTGTCAGTCGTGGCTTGTTATTGCGAAGACCACGAGTCAGTGGATCTAATGTAGCATTATAATTAAAAAATCAAGTCTGAAACAGAGAACTCAATTATAGGTAAAGGCAAAAAATGGGTTATAAATAAATTCAAAAAGTACAAGTAAATAAAAGAAAGGGTACATAGGCCTACACTATGAAAAACCAGTTTAAGCCTACTATATACAATGAGCCTTCAATAAATTTCTCTGAAACTGTTGTAATGCAATGACTTACGTATTATAAACTGCAGTCTTAAATTTTGATTATTGAGATTTGTCATGGGTTCCCATTTTTGGAGATGAGTTGCTTCATTCTGCCTACCAAACCCAAACAGAACTGTATGAGACACATCTCTGCTGATAAAAGAAGTTTGAAATACATGCCTGCAGGTGTAATAATTCACGCAGGTATCCCTTTTTAATAGGGTGGAATTAAGCGTGAGAGGCAAGGAACCTATAACACCATACTAGGTTTTTGATGAAATATAAGGAAGATTTGTATTATTTCTTCTACTCTGGTGTAATCTACAGTTTCAAGAACATAACAACCAGAGAAATTATAAATGAACCATCTATCTCTACCCTAATCGAGAATCACCCAACACCCTGCCTTGTTTGTTTCAGGCTTAGCGCCATAGACGGAAGTGATGTTTTTCAGGGCGTCAGGTTATTATATTGGTGAAGTGTCCATGGGTCGTTGGAGCCTCTTTGACACAGCAGACTGTAACTGCTTTCTTTTCGCAAAAGATTCTCTTTGACAGTCTTTTTACTTTCACTTTTTTTCATCAGTCCAGTTTGACGAGTTTGTTCGTTCACCTCACTACTGTGGTTCACCTTCACCTTTCGCCTTGCAAACTCTCGCTTCAATGTTTATCTGCTGGCGGTTTCGTCTGTTGTTTTTAAACACTGTATTTGACTAGGATTATTCAAAGGCGTTCGATGTTAGACATGATGAACTATTTAGAATACTGGAAAATCTAAACATCTATAGATGGAAAAGATCTAAGAATTACATGTAATGGTGAGAAAATCATAAGTTGCTTTTAAATGTGAAAAAACACACACCAAAAGAACTTGTTGATTTTAGAATAAAGAAACTGCCCCTGCAGTCATTCGAAATTAAATGTGAAAACATCGAGCAAGTGTTAGACTATTAGTATTTGCGTGTTACAATAGATAACAAACTCAACTGGGGTGTCCACACTTCTCTCCAGCATAAAAAAGCGAACAAAAGACTTTTTTTTTTTCTAAGGAAGCCAAAGTATTTTTAAGTTGATAATTTGATAAAACGTTGTTGTCTATATTCTACCATTCAACCATAGAAAGTACGATCAATTTTTGTATAACAGCATGGGCCGGGAACACAAGACAACAAGATAAAGAAAAATGTAATCGATTAATACGGAAAGCATGTAAAATTTCAACATCTGCATTCCCCTACTTGGATCTTTGATGGTACATAACAGCTTGTACTAAACAAATTAATTCCATCTTTTTAGACATCAAACATCCCTTGTTCCCTCAAATAAAAACATCAGTCAGAAGTAAAAAACCAAGGCTTCTGATCTGTAACTAAGAAAAACAAGGAAAGTCATTAATTTTACCATCATCTATCAAAATGCTTCCACCTTAACCATATTGTATAAGTATACTTACGACCTTAGAGCATGCATCATTTAACATTGAGTGAGTATATCTTAAGATCATTGTTGTTTATATGCCGCTTATTTATATTATGCATGTGATCGTAAGTCAACGTGTGTGTGCATGTGTGTGTATATGTGTGTATGTGTGTGTGTATGTGTGTGTGTATGTGTGTGTGTGCGCGTGCGCGCGTATGCGTGTACGTGTGTGTGTGTGTGTGTGTGTGTGTGTGTGTGTGTGTGTGTGTGTGTGTGTGTGTGTGTGTACACGTGGTGAAACACCAAACCAATGTGCCAGAATCTGGACAATAAAGATGTATCTTATCTTATCTTATCTTAAAGATACGGGGTACACGGAAGCGGAACCAATAAATTGGTAAAAAAAAAAAGAATTTTGACAAATTAATCCGCAGACAGGAAAAAGAGGCTAAAACAGCACCTGGACATGGGCGGCTGGTGCCTCTATAAGTAAATCATTGATGGTCAAGGTCTCTCTCTCTCTCTCTCTCTCTCTCTCTCTCTCTCTCTCTCTCTCTCTCTCAACACATCGTTAGCTCAGTTGAAATTAGGGACTGCCCGTGACACTGATGACTGGTACCAATACCAATGAATCATGTTTGGACTTGGGATGTTCGGGGAGTTTGCAAAGCTCTTCGTGCGTACTTGACCCATCTTATCGGCACTGGACGTTAAATCAGATGTCTCGCATTGATCCCATACTTTCAGTTCAAAGTTTAGTGACATCAGACGATTTTTTTCTCTTTTCTGGTCCAACAAATTTCATAGTGGTCTGCTGCTACGATTTCCGCATAATATCACACTCAGGTTTATTAAAGTAGTGAGGCAGTGGGGCTGTAGAAATAAGCAGATAGGTTGATAGGGAGCTAGGTGGATTGGCTAGGTTCAGAGTAGGATTTTGTAGGTATTGCCATGGCCATGTTGGGAGGGAGTTGAGGGAGCAGTGCAGGTTGGGTTGTTTTGTTTTGTTTGTTTGTTTTCATAGGGAGGGGTTGGCAGGGGTAAAATGGTGTAGGAAGAGCGTCCTACTGATTAAGTTTGAGTGTGAGGTTGTTGGAGCTTGTATACCAGATTGTTCCTTGAGGTTTATTGGTGCACCACTGCCAGAACTGAATCGATTGTTCCATAAAATGTGTACTCAGATTGATCAACAGACGCTGACAGCTGGGGTTTTTTTTTACCTTTTGTAGTAGACGTTCTGATAAAACAAGTGTCTCCTTGACCAGAAGTTTGTAGTTTTCAAAAGGCTGACAGGAGACAGAAAAGGACCAGAGGATCATCTGCATCATGTTATTGACCCTTTAGGACTCATTGACTTAGGTGCGACCCCTCTTGGTCATGGTGACCCTACGGAACTTTACCTTTTGTACAACCCCACGTTGTTGGACCTCATAACTCATGTCTTGACTTAGCTCCGATCCCTCTTGGTGACCCAACATAACTTTATTTTTGTCCTACCCCACGTTGAGGACCTTTTAGGACTAGTGTTTTGACTTAGCTCAGACATTGCCTGGTGACCTTTAAGAACGTAATCCCATTTTGTAAACCCTTTAAGATTCATGTCTTGAATTAACTCCGAACCCTCGTTGTTGACTCTTTGGCCTCACGTATAATGACTTACATCTGACCCCTCATATTGTTGAACCCTCATTGTTGACCCATCAGAACTCAGAACACTATTCAGTTTGTTTGAAAGAGAACAAAAATTAATGACCGGTGAAAGCAGCATGTTTAAAGGTATAAAAAGACTGTCTGAACTGTCAATGACATAATATGTAGGCCTATTAGGCATGTTAGTTTACTTGTCTTTGTGGATTTGTTAGAACTTTGGGAAGCTAAAAAATATATATTTAATAAATTTACTGCGTGAAATCTATCTTTAAACTGGTTCTCTGTTTGCATTATTTATTGGCAAGGTATTCATGTTCGTTCCCTTTTCAACGTGAATGATTGAAGAGTGCCACTAGTAGGCCTCACTTTTTTTTCTTTCCCTCTGCTTTTTCTTTCTGTCTTACTTTTTCCCAGATTTCTTCTCGGATATTCCCAATTAGTAGGCTACCATATGTGAATAGCAATTTCCCATTTTTGACTGCATGTTGTACCTAGTGTTTTTTTTATGGTTCTTCCACTTTATCCTGTGCTTTCTTTATGCATGCTTAATTAGATGTACCAGAGTCTGTGGTGTAGAAATCAGGCTCATTACCATGCCTACTAAGTAGACTTGAGTTTGATTTTTGAACGGCGAGGGTTTGTAGAAAAGCATCATCATCATCATCATCATCATCATCATCATCATCATCATCATCATCATCATCATCATCATCATCAAAATCATCATATCAATCTAGTTAGCAAACCGCCCAGACCCGATCCGATCCCCATTGGGCACCCCGCATAACAGCATCCTCCAGCTCAGCTTGCGTAACGGAATTTTTCTTATGATGGATTTTCTGACAATTTTATCTTTTTTTTCCTTTTTTTCTTTTTCTTTTTTTTTAATTTTTTTTTCTTTTTTTTTCTTTTTGTAGCGTACGATCTATAATGTTAGTGTGTGTGTTCATGCTTCCTCTCTTGTTATCTCCCGACCCGACCCGATCCCCGGCTACGTACAGAAGCCCAGCTCACACCATCTCGCCAAGAGCCACCTTTTCTCAAGAGTCTCCCAGCTGACGGGGGGGGGGGGCTATGTGTATGCAAAATGCTAGTGCCTATACGTTCTCTGACCGTCTAGGCTATAGTGCTCATTGATTGGCGCATCCGTTCTCTGCAAACAGATTGCGGATCGGGCGATCGGTTTGTGCCACAATATGGTCGCTGGTCGCTTTGCTTGCGTCCTCAAGCTGACTTGTCCCGCCTCCCAAACTGAACCGAACCGATAGTGCCAATATTCCCCCCCCCCCCCTACTTCGAAATGAAACGGAACGAACCGAATTCGCTCGTGCCAGTGGGCCCTACACTCTACAGCAGAGCATCGGCTCACTTCAAAGTGCGCAGCTGAGGTCAAACCTTGCCACTGACGCTGCTGATGTTCTCACTTTC